GAAAGGCAGAAATTGCAGGAAATTATATACTGCAGGAGCGGCTCTATCCTCCCAGGCTGACTCCCGGGAAGCTTCTGGTTTGGGAAGAGCATCTCGCAGGCTGGGGCTGACACCCTCCACCTCGGACCCTCGCCAGAATCTGCGGATACCCAGCTGGCTGGCTGATCCCCCTGCCCCTCCCTGGCCTCCTCATGGGTCCACACCTTTGTCTGTGGAGGGTTGGACATCCATTCACTGACCACACGGGATGGGACAGGAGGCTGGGGAGGCCTTGTTTGTAGGACTGGGGCCACCTTCAAAAGCACAGGCAGAGGCAGGGCCTGGGGTGGAATTGGGCAGGAGGATGGTAAGTTCAAGACCAGCCTGGCCACTTAGTGAGACCCTGCCTCAGAAAGGAAAGGGGTAGTGCGCTTGCCCAGCTTGTGATGCCCTGGGAGGTTCACTCCCAGCACTGCAAAAAAAAAAAAAAAGGAGAAAGAAAGAAAGAAAAACAATGGTACCAGACAATGACACATTCCTGTCTCAAGGACTTCCCCACGGTGGGCCTTCACCTGGAGGGAAGCTGGCCTCCGTGTCAGAAACCTCTCTGAAGGTCTGTCTGTCCCCAGCGGATCCTTCAAGGGTGCCACAATCATACTGGACTTTAGGCAAAAGTACCTGGGCCGAACTTATGCCCAGGAAGGCAGCTCAGGAGCGAGGAGGCAGCCCCCTGCCCCCACAGCGCCCACCTATCTGCCAGCAGCGGGACGCTGGGCCCACAGGCGGATTTTCCAGTTAGCTGAATTTCAGAGCCAACCTTTTCTGTCTTTCTTTTTTGATTTTAACTAGTTTCACGGAGGCCTTTCCAAATGGATTTCACACTCCCTGACTTGGCCAACTGAGGTCAGGGAACATAATTAAGCTTATCTGGATGCTGCGGAGTCATCCTTTAGAATCTCAGTTATTGGTCTTGGGAGCCAGGCTGTCTGTCCCAGTCCCAGCTCCTCTTTCTGGCTGTGTGGCTTCCTGCAAGGGCCTTAACCTTTCTGTGCCTCAATTTCCTTGTCTTTAAAATGAAAGCACCTACTTCACAGGGTTGCTGAGAGGATGAAGTGGATTAAATACATAAAAATAGTGGCTGGCACATACTAGAGCCTCTTCTGGTGTCATCTTTGTAACCAACGGTGGCAGCCCCTGTTCTCACAGCTGCCCCATGCTGGCCACCATGGCTGGGAACTGACACGTCACGCCCCTGGTCTTCCTGAGGGGCTCGCACGGGGGTATTATCATTCCATTGTACCGAACTGCAGAGAGGGGGAGTTGTGTGCCCCCAGCCTCCTGAGCAACCAGTAGCAGAGCTGGGACTCCAACCTGGTGGTCCTTGGCTCCTCGGAGCCGTCTGTCAGGTGCTGTGGGACATTGACTGGCCCTGGAAGTTACAGTTTATCAAGGTCTTGCAGTCACTTTTCTTTTTTTTCTTTCTTTCTTTTTTTTTTTTTTTTTTAACTGGGTTTGAACCTAGAGGTGCTGAGCTACATCCCAAGTCCTTTCTATTTTTTTGAGACAGGGTCTTGCTAAGTTGCTGAGGCTGGCCTTGAACCTGTGATCCTCCTGCCTCAGCCTCCTGAGTCCCTGGGAATTATAGGCATGTGTGGCCCCACCCAGTTACCTTTTCTTTTTTTTTAAACATTTATTTTTTAGGTGTAGATGGACACAACACAATGCCTTTATTTTTATGTGGTGCTGAGGATTGAACCCGGGTCCCGCCCGTGCTAGGTGAGCGCTCTATCGCTGAGCCACAACCCCAGCCCTACATTTGCTTTTTATCTGATATTTCTACCAGCTTTCTGATCTTGCAGGGACCTGAGGAGTTCTCCTTTGAGGCAAAACAAAACAACAACCACCCCTTTAGCTTGTCTGGATTTTGTGGCATCTGTTGGGGCTCTTTCCAGGGTGTGCAGGTAGTCACCTGTATAGGTCGGGCAGTCCTGTGGGGCTCACCTGTGTTCATTCAGGTGAGAATATCACTCAGGGGAATTCCAGATGTGAAAAGTCATTGTCATAACCACCAAACTGTGACCCAGGGAGGCAGCAGGGACCTTGGATTCCCACACTGTCACCTGAGTGCCAGTGCTCCCCCAGGACTGGCTACTGAGTGTCCCCAGCTGTTGGCCCACTCCAGTGTTCATGTGGCATCGACACTGAGTCTGATCTGCCAGGCTTAAAGGGACTGGGGTGGTCATCCTGCCCGGCACGTGACTTCACGGATGAGGAAACAGGCTCAGGGGGCTTGAGGGACTTGCTGAAATTGTAGAGCTAGGACTGAACCCCGGGCCTCTGACTTCCTTGATGGGACTGTCCCCCTTGCTCCCCTCCAGGTCCTCTGCCTTGACTGGTGCCACTCAGGCTGCCTCTGTGGGAAGGACCAGGCCCACTTCATGGCCCCTTGTGTGGTCACACAGGGAGATGCACGTGGCTTAATGCTCTGCTGTCACCACCCTGAAATTGCTGAACTCTTCTCAAAGCCTCCACATTTCCCTTTACACTGGTCCCCACAGTTTATGTAAGGGGTTCTGGGAGGAGCCACCAGGTCCCAGGCCTTCTTCCTTTCCAGGCTACAGGATGTGGCTCCATAGGAAGGCATTAAAATGCTCCCTCCAGGGCTGGGGATAGAGCTCAGCCGGTAGAGTGGTCGCCTCACATGCTCAAGACCCTGGGTTCAATCCCCAGCATGGAAGGAAGGGAGGGAGGGAGGGAGGGAGGAAAAATGCTCTGTTCACTAGCTCGGAATGGAGTGGAACTCTCCAGAGCGTGTCTGCTGAATGCCTTAGAAGCCTAGAGAATGTTCTGGATGGGGGACTTGGGACATGACTCAGTTGGTAGAGTGCTTGTTTCGCATGCACAAGGCCCTGGGTTCAATCCCCAGCATCACAGAAAGAAAGAGAATGATAGCAGTGAAAACTCAAGTCTGACGGCCTGGGTTACTCACCGTGGACTTGGGGTGTATGATTAACCTGTTTCCTCCTCTGGAGAAGGTAGAAGCTAGAGAAATGACTGGGACTTGTGTCAAGGGTGAAGGTGCCACCTGATCCCTGGCACCTAGTAAGAGCTCAGTAAGTCAGCTGTTCTCTTACTCTGGCCCGTGACGCTGGGAGACAGGATTCAAGCTGCCCTTAACCCGGCATCTCAGTGCCCATCCTCAGGGGTATTCAGTGGCACTTCCTGCCCTGGGGTGGAGGGAGTGGTGTGCTGAGAGACATAACTTTGAAATCAGTTTACACAGGTTTGAATTTCCCTTCTACCAGTTAGTTACCAGCCTTAGGTTACCTCACTTCTCCGACCCGGCTTCCTCATTCATAAAAAGCGAATAGAGGACTGTTTTGAATACTAAATATGTTAAGGAATGTCTCAGAGGGTGTCTAATGAATGCTCCTGAGTGAGAGCCAGTGGAGGGATGCTGAGTTTGCTGTCACTGGATGTCCTTGTGGGAAGGCATGTGTGTGGGGGGGGCAGGGAGCGGCCACACACACTGGGGGGGGAGAAATGTTCTAAGAATAATGATGATGACGACAACACACACAGCACTTAATTGTGCTAGCCGCGGTGTTCAGCGTTGTACAATTATCTCATTTTATCCCCATGAGCCTGTGAGGTAGGCCCTGCCCGTTCCTCCTATTTTACAGGAGCACAGAGCACAGAGAGGGTGATTAATTTACCGTAGGTCCCACAGCTAGTGAAGCAGATAGCCTGGCCGCAGCCATCATAGGCCTGACCATTATACCACCAGTCCCACTGTTCAGCCTCTTGACTGTGTCCTTCAACCTCAAGGGAGGTTATAACACATCTTCATTTTCTTTCTTTTTTTTTTTTTTGTACCAGGGATTGAACTCAGGGCACTTAACCACTGAGCCACACCCCCAGCCGTTTCTTGCATTTTGTTTAGAGGCAGAGTCTCACTGAGTTGCTAAGGGCCTCACTAAATGCTGAGGCTGGCTTTGAACTGGAGATCCTCCTGTCTCCACTGGGATTACCGGCATGTGCCACTGCACCCGGCTTACATCTTCATCTCTGTGACCACCATTTGGTCCTCACTGGGCAGTGGGTCATTCACCTCAAGACATGCCCCCTGCGGAGAGGAAAGGGGTGTGCCAGGAGCTGGCCCAGAGCAGGGCAGGCCCAGGGTCTGCAGGACAGAGTCTGATAGCTGGCGTGACCGTTAGGATGCAGAACTGCTAAGCAGGGGGGCTGCTTGGGCGGAGTGAGCGGGGGCCACATTCAGGGAGGTCCCTGAGGTGCTCAGGAGCCCCTCTGTAGCATGGTGGGTTCAGGTGAACCTGGCTCTACTTGGCGAGCTCGGGGAAGTTCCCTGCTCTGAGCCTTTGGTGTCTTAGCTGTTACACGGGCCACTGTCCCTGCCACATCCACTTTAGGGCGTTGTGTGGGCCTCTGGAGACTTAGGCGGTGTGGATAGATAGGATGCTCGCACTGCAGCTTCCGCTGGAGCCAGGCAGATGCAGGCAGGAAAGAAGCATCGGAGACAGAGCAGAGTGGAGGCTTCTGGGCCCGCAGATCACACTCAGGCGGACCTTGGATTAATCAGTTCCCCTTTCTTAGCTGCTCAGGGAATTGGGAATGGAATCCCAGGGGCTGGCGCTCATGGGGGACTGCTACACCTGTTCCCTGCTGAGCACCTCACACCCCATCTCACCTAGTCCCCAGCCCCCTGGAGTCCCCAGGTTGCAATGGGAGACTGAAGCTCTGCACTGAGGCTCTGTTACCTACCTTGCCCGGGGTCACACAGCTAGAAGGTGACAGAGCTAAGACTCAATCCAGGGCCGCTGCAGAATCCTCCTGCTTCTGTACCGGGGCCTCCAGGCTGCTGCTGCCCAGGTGGAGTGAGCCCCGGGGTGCCAGCTGGGCCTGGCGTGGAGCCGGGCTGAGGCTGGATCCTCTTGCCTGTCGGGGTCTTGAGCTGTTTTCCCACTCCTCTGCCTCACGCGCCCTGGCCCCTCCCTCCGCAGGATGTGGCCACCATGCAGTTCTGTGCCAACAAGCTGGACAAGAAGGACTTCTTTGGGAAATCCGACCCCTTCCTGGTGTTCTACCGGAGCAACGAGGACGGCACGTGAGTCTTGGGCAGCACTAGGCACTGCGCTGTCACCACTGGGCTCAGCCTCGGGTCAGGGACACGGACAAGCGCCAACTGGCTGTCGGGGGCTGGGGTCCTGCTCCTTCCATGGCCCCCCAGGGCCTGGCTCTGCAGAGGAGTGCCTGACATATAGATGGGGTCAGTGAGGAGTGGGGATGGCCTCTAAGCTGAAGGTCTCCGTAATGACAGGTGCTGAGTATGTTGGGGGCAGACAAAAACAGGCTGGGGCCTGAATAAGGGGCCCCAGCTTCCATGAGACCCCTCTGATAGCCTCTTCCTTGTTCTACACAAAGCAGTCCCCATCTCCAAGCCCAGTCCCCTCTATCCACAGCCCTCTGAATGCCCCCCATCACGTCCCCTCCCTCTGAACCCTCAGCATGGCAAAGCTGGCCCCCTCCCTCCACCTGGCCCCCAGCGCTGCCAAGGGCTTCACTCAGAACTCAGGACCTCTGGGCTCCCTCCTCCTCTCCCGCAGGTAGAAGCCCTCCTCCGTGTAATGAAAATGTGCTTAAAGCTTGGGCAGCTGTAGGTCAGCAGTATACATGGAAGGACTCTGGGTTGCGGATCTGGGGACCTAGGTCCACACCCACACCTGCTGAGTGACCCTGGGGCAAGGTATGCCCCCTCTCTGGGCCTGATTTCTCATCCATAAATGAAACATGGGATTAGGTGGCCCCCACGGTCTCTTTAAGCAGTGCAGTTCTAGGGGCCTGGGGACACTTACTGCTGGGCTTCTACAGAGGAGGAAGGAGGGACCCAGGAGGTTAATTAGAGACTCTGCTGAAGAAGGGGTTGGAAACAGCCTTTGAAGGAGAGGAACAATGTGGGTGCACGGGGTGGGGGGGGGCAGGGAGCAACGACAGTGCCTGAGGGCAGAGCCGCCTCCACAGCCCCTGATTCTGAAATGCGGGGAGTGTGTTCGGGAGAGGGAGAGAGTCTGAGTGCGTGTGTGAGTGTGTGTGTGTGAGTGTGTGTGTGTGTGTGTGTGTGTGTTGGGGGGCAGGAGTCTCAGGGAGGAGGTGTTTCAGTTGCTGGGAAAACTGATTTTTAAACCTGAGCTACAAAACGGGGAGATTAGGTGTGATCATTTGCATGACAAAAGGATTCTTTGTCTGGGGAAGGACTCCCAGCAGGGTTTCTTTAAATAATTCTTGTTGACTTGGACTTGGCTCCCGGTGGGGGAGGAGGAGGCCTGGGTGTCCACACACGTCCCCTTGGGAGAGGCAGAGCCCAGGTGGCCTGGGCCTGTCCAGCTGCTCCTGACCAGGACCTGGCGAGGGATGTGGAGCGGGAGGGGCCGTCGAGGTGTCTGAGTGACGGTTCTGCAGCGGTGCGTGGGCTGCTGGGGAGGGGCGGGGAGCGGAGAGGCTCGTGACTGACACCACAGCAGGTGGGAGGTGCGGCGAGGCTCCGGGCTGAGCGGGTGCAGGGTGCGGCTGCAGGGGGAGCGGGCTGGGAGCAGGGGGCCAGAGGACTCCGTGGAGACCAGTAGGGACCGAAGGTGTAGCCCCTTCCCTGGCCGTGGGGCCCCAGGTCCCCAAATGTGGGAAATGGCAAAGAAGCTGGTCCAATGGGGGAGACCACGGGAATTTATTTCGGGGCAAGTTTCACTGAAGGTTGGGGCTGGAGCTCTCCAGGAAGATAGCTGCCCCCCCCCCCCAGGGGACCCCCCCAGACCTGTAGAAACCATCCAGGGACTGCTGAGGGCTGGGCCAGAATGCAGACCCCCAGGCCCTGCAGAGGCTGAGCAGGGAAGGATGGGGGGGTCTCCCAGGGTGGGAGGAGAGAGGAGTGTGAAGTTTGGGGAGATATCGGTCATGAGGAGGGCAGGAGAAAGGTCAGCCAGGGAAATCAGGGGAGGGAAGTGTTCTGCCAACCTGGCCGCCATCCTCCCCGAGATCCCCCCACCTCATCTGGTTCCATGTTAGTAACTCCTCTGTCGGCCTTCCAGGTGTCAGGGAAGGGCCAGTGGCCCCAGCCTGGCACAACCAGTTAGTTACCAGCTGAGTAGAGGTAGGCAAGACTAACCCAATAGAACCTTCTGGAATGTTGTCTAGCATGGTCACCACCACCCACATATAGTTACTGAGCACCTAAATTGGGGTTAGTGCAACTGATAACATTTTTCACTTAATTTCATTTTAATTAATCTAACTTAGTCACATGACTGCCATTTTGGACAGTACAACGTACCTACATAATCTGTTGTATGTACACTGGGGACAAGTGGCACCTCCCTCTCAGGGGTGCTTTGAGGATGGGATGAGTTAGTATATTATCATTAGAAAAAGGCCTGGTAGGGGCTGGGGTGGAGTTGTGGCTCAGTGGTAGAGCGCTTGCCTAGCATGTGTGAGGCATTGGGTTCAATTCTCAGCACTACATATAAATAAATGAATAAAATAAAGGTCCATAAACATCTAAAAAAATATTTAAAAAAGAAAAGAAGAAGGCCTGGTAAGCCTGGTGTGGTGGCGCACAGTCTATAATCCCAGAAACTCAGGAGGCTGAAGCAGGAGGATCACAAGTTTGAAGCCAGCCTCAGCAACTTAGCAAAACCCTCAAAATAAAAATTAAAAAGGGGTGGCAAAGTAGCTCCACGGTAGAGCACACACACACACACACACACAAAGAAATGAAAAAGGCCTGGAAGTGTTAGTGAATGTTCTTATTCCCACTTTGCAATGAGAGGGGAAAGTCAGAGAGGGAAAGACATATGCTCAGGGATGCACAGCTGGCAGATGGTGGGTCTGGGACTGGGACTCCCATCTGTCTGACTCTGTTGGGTAGCTCTCCCACCGATGCTCCCAGTGTGTGTCCAAATGAAAGTGAGTCAAGGGGTGGGAGGGCCATAGGAACCGCTTCACAGGAGGGCCTGCCTCTGGGGGGGAGTTGGGGGGTGTTGCAGCATAGAGTGGGGAAGGTATGGCTTGGTGGTGAGGGACCAGGGAGGGCAGGCAAGAGTCAGAGGCGACACCACACTGCACAGGGCCCAGGAAGGGATGAGTGGGGAAGAGATTGGGCTCATAGAAGGGCTGCTCCTGGAGTTTGGCTATTAAGGGAAAGGAGAGAACTACTCGGGGGTTCAAGAGATGGGGGTGCTGGGGAGGGTCCACAGAAGGCACCTGTGACAGTCAGGGGAGCCCAGGTGGCTTCTGTATGGCATGATTGCCCCTCCCTCCACCGCTCCCCCCTTCCTCCCTGCCCCCCCGCCTGCCCGCCGGCCCACCCCGGCTGCCCATCCCCATCCTCGTCCTCGCCCCCAGCTCTGGGTGTGCAGGGAGGTCTCCCACGTGCATCTCCACACTCCAGTGGGTGGGCGAGGACGAGCTGAAGAGAGACTCAGAGCCACAGTGACAGGGATGACATTTTGACTTGAAAATTGCCACAGAAGAAATGGCACAGGCTGTGTGGGCTTGGGCGGAGCCCAGCACTTACCCAGGTGACCTTTCTAAGCTGGGATGGTGCTGGGGCGGATGCCTGGGAGGTCGCTCCTGGCCGCCCATCCAGGTGGCAGGCCAGCCAGGCGTGGCATGGGAGGGGACCCGGTGTGGGTGAGCCAGCTCTGAACTTTCAGTTTGCAAAGCAGGTTTTTTGAATTTGGTCTGGAAAAACAGAAGGGGTCTTAGAGACGATCCAGGTCATCCCAGGGGCTTTGATTTCACTGAATTGAAATGCAGGTGGAAGCTTTGGAAAGTTCCTCTGGCTCCTTAAAAAAAAAAAAAAAAATTTCTTGAATACCTACTAAGTGCCAGGTCTTGTTCTAGGCATTAGGGTTACATCAGTGGATCAAGAGAAAAACTCTTTATTCTGATGGAGGTTAATCTTAGTGTCAGATAGTAAACAGAATAAATAAGGGGAAAACAGGCAATATCACGTTAAATGGTGACACATAGGAAAAGAAATATGGAAGGAGACAGGGGATGTCGGAATCAAAGGCCAGGAGGCTGTACATTTTGGACATGGTCATCAGTGGGGACTTCATGGAGATGACCTCTGACCTGAGATAGTGTGGCGGGGAGCAGGAAAGGGGGGAACGTCCTAGGGTGGGAGAAGAGCAGACACCTGCAACCCGACACCCAATTCTAGATACAATTTTAGGGACTCACAGGCCACGAAGGTCCATTGAGACAGATCCTTTCATGGGTCTCAGGGGATGAAGATAGAGGCCAGCTTCACAGGGTTTTGAGTCAGGCGAGGAAGTGGAGGCCCGGAGAGGGGCGAGTTTGGTCAAGGTCACACGGTGAGTTGGCCCCAAGCAGGGGCTGTTAGGACCAGGTCTCCTGCCCCCACAGGACTTGTCTCCTTCCAGGCTGGGTCCCCATCTGGTGCAGGTCTGCAGCATCTCAGCCAGTGGCCGTCCAGTTCCAGCCAGGCCGCTGCTAGTGACAGGCAGCTCGTCCCCCAGGATCCCCAGTTTCCATGTCTGGCAGCGGCAGACATGGCCGGCTGACCCCCCTGCCAACCTGGATCCTGCCGCTCTTGGCTTCAGGCCTGACGGCCTTTCTCTCCCTTCTTCACCAGGTTCACCATTTGCCACAAGACGGAGGTCATGAAGAACACGCTCAACCCCGTGTGGCAGACCTTCTCCATCCCCGTGAGGGCCCTCTGCAACGGGGATTATGACCGGTGAGATGGGAGGACAGCCCTTCCCTGTTCCTCCACCCCCAGGCCTTCCCAACACGAGGGGGACTACCCAAAGCAGCGCCGTCAGCCGGCCTCCTCAATATGCACGGGCCTCTGGGCTGCACCTTGGTGTCCGCACAGGGTGGGGCTCGGTGGCCTCCCCCTCCCGCCAGCTCCCAGCAGGTCTGCCTCCCCATGGTCTCGCAGCTCCTGCCCCCCACTTCCTCCTTGTCTGGCCTCCGTATTGGGAAGCTCTAAAGTGTGGGAGGATGGGAGTGGAGTGCCTGGGGCTCCAGGGTGACCTAGACGGGTGGCACCAGATGGGCGTCCCTGGTACCCTGGTCTGGAACTCGGTGGCTTGTCTTCATTGTTCCCCAGGGAAGGCATATGGTGGCAGGATGGAGGTGAGGAGGTAGGCACAGACAGGGGCAGCTGCTCCCCAGCAGCCTTAGTCTCTGGCGGGGGGACTCTGGAGTCAGAATCCAGGGACACTCCCTGCCAGCCAAGTTGCCATAAATGAGGGGCGAGGGAGCAGGGATGAGAGCCTGCTAGGTATTTTGGTTCTGTGTGGCCTACTCACATGACATGTCAGCTGTCATCATCATCTTACTCAGTGTGATTTTCCAGGGTAGAGACCAGATACCTCGTTTCCAGCCTTGACTCTTTGAGTAAAAAGCTCTGTCAACCTGGGTGATCTTTGACCCTCAGTTTCTTTTCTGCAAAGTAGGTGTGAGAACATCTGCCTACTCCCTGGGCTGCTTTGAAGTTCACACAGCACAGCCTATTCAAGGAGGACCTGTGTGCGTGAAATACCAAATTCAACATTTTGTTCACAAATGTATTGTGGCCCTACCAGACGCTGGGAAATCAGCAGGGGCAAAGCACAATCTCCACCCCTCTCCCAGCCTCGTGGGTTTAACTGCTAGTGGGGGAGGCAGACATTAATCCAATAATCACACAAACATATCATTAGCCGTTGCAGTAAGTGCTGGAGAGCGTGGGGGTCATGTCAGACGGAAGCTATAAGATGCATACGTTCCCTGGGCATGGTGATGCACACCTATAATCCCAGCTATTCAGGAGGCTGAGGCAGGAGGACCACAAGTTTGAGGCCAGCCTGGGTAATTTAATGAGACCCTGTCTTAAAATGAAGAGGGCTGGGGGTGTATTGAGCTGTAGAGAGCTTTCTGGCCAATGCAAGGCCCTGGGTTCAGTCCCTAACACTGTGCACACGCAGAGATGGTGTAGGCCTGGGTTAAGTTGTGAGAACCTTCCAGTGCCCTGGCAATGGCTGCAGCTCAGCTGGGCAAGCTGGCCAGCAGCCTTGAGGAACTGGACCGTCCCTAGCTCACCCCACGGGGACATGGTGCATCAGAACAGACACCTTGGTGTGCCCCGAGACCTTGCTCACAATGGCCACCAAGTGTGTGTGGTGGGTTTGGTGAGTGGGTGGATGGCCTCTAACACCCCCGTTTCATCTCAGGAGACCCTCAGGCTGCCCAGCCAAGGCTGAGGTGCTCCTTCTCTGCCTCTTGGCTGGGATAGAAAAGCCACAGTCTGTTCCCCAGGAGATCCTGAGCACCTACTAGATGCCCAGTACCGGCGTCTGTGTGATTTTGGGGGGACACTCAGCTGTGTTCCCCTCTTCTGGAAGCTTCTGGTCTAATCACTGGGGGCTCTGGTGAGCAGGCATTCCAGCCAAACAAGGCCTGTTGCCGGCTGGCTGGGTCCTGAGGCTTCTGGAGTGGGTGACAGGGGACCCTGGGGAGGAAGGCCAGGCAGGTTCCCACCTCCCCTCCCAACCCTAGCCCAGCCTCACCCCCACAGGATGGCCGAGCTCATGCCCTTCTCCATGGCTGGCACAAATTGACTGTGACGTGACTGACAGCGGTGTTAATGCCCAGAGCCAGGCGTGTCTCGCCAGCCCTGTGAGCCCCAGCCTAGGGTAGCCCACACACCCGGAGCCACTCAGGAGGCTGCGTCGGGAGGCCCCCCAGGCAGGAGACGGGGCCTGGTGCAGGAAAATGAGGCCACTGCCCTCCCCTGCTAAGGCCCCCGGGAGCCTCACAGAAATCGCTCAGTGTAACCCAGCAGCAGCTTCCCAAGCCAGCCAGGATCCAGGAGCTGGCAGGGTGCTTTGGGGGCACACTGGGCTCTTGGGCCCACGCTCCCTCTTAGGTTGGCAGGCCAGCGGGGAGACAGCGGCCACAGTCATAGCAAAGGCTCCAGTGGCACTTAACCTTGGGCAGGCCCTGTTCCAAGCGCTTACGCCTGTGAACTAAGTTAATCTTCCCTGGGAGAAGCTGCCAGTGCTGTCCACACAGGCCAGGAGACTGAGGCCAGAGAGGTTAAGTAGCTTGCCGAGCATCTTGCTGCCAGCCAGCGGGAGAGCCGTACTGGCCAGGCAAGCTGGCTCTGGATCTGTGGTGTTTTTTTGTTTGTTTGTTTGTTTTTTGGTACCAGGGATTGAACCCAAGGATGCTCAGCCACTGAGCCACATCTCCAGCCCCTTTTTGAATTTTATTTAGAGACAGGGTCTCGCCAAGTTGCTGAGGCTGGCTTTGAACTCGCGATCCTCCGCCTTAGCCTCCTGAGCAGCTGGGATTATGGGCCTGCGCCACCACACATGGCTTAGAATCTGTGCTCTTAATTCCTGTGTCTTGCTGCCAGACGGCCAAGACGTGGTGTGACAGGGCTGTGACAGGTGCTTCTGGAAGAGGCTCTAGGAGCACCTTGCTCAGAGGTCAGGGACAGGTCACCTTTGGGGCTGGAGGTGAGGGAGCAGCTTGGAGGTAGTCTAAGTCCTGAGAGCAAGTGATTCAGAGAGGAGAGGAGAAGGAACGGCAACAAGTGAGATACAAAGCTTGGAGGTGTCCCAGACACAAAGGGGAAGTGTGACCGGAACCAGATCCTTACTGTCACAGGATGCATTACGGGGTTTCCTTTCACGGCCTGTATGCAGCCCGTTCACGAAACATCAGCATTCCTAGATTATGAAGACTGGGTTTGCTGTTCGGAAATGAGAGGCTGCTGTGGAGGGGGAAAGAATCGGGGAGCCTGGCTTCCGTCCTGGGGACCGAAGGCCACTGTGAGCCAGGCACAGCTACGAGGGCAGGGGACAGAGGTCTGGGAGTTCCCAGGATGGGCAGCAGGAAGAACACGCAGGTCCCTTGTGAGAAAGACATCCAGGAGGGTGAGGACCAGAAAGGGCAGTTTCGTGGAATGATGAGGGAGGAGACAGTTTAGGTGATTGAAGTTGCTGGGTGTTGAGGACCTGGGCAGGCTGTGTCCTAATTGTTTTAAATGCATTACTGTGTGAGTAATCTTAGGAGGTAGGTGTTCACTCGCGATGTGCCCATTTTACAGATGGGGAGATGGAGGACTAGAGGTTATGTAACGTGCCAGAGCGAGAGGTACCTGTCCTTTCTGCAGGGGGCGCCTCTGGGCTGGTTTGAATGAGTGGACTCTCAGAGAGTGTGCTGAGGGTACCTTCTGAAGTCTGGAGAGGGGTCCTCAGTGGCCGGGGGTTGTGGGGGCTCTAACACTGCCTCAGCTTCAAGCTGCCTTCTGGCTCCCTGGACTCACCAGTTGCTTCTCCTTGGCCTCCCGCCATATGCTGAGCACCCAGGAGGGACCAGGCACAGTACCAGGCACTTCACAGTGTGATCCCAACGACAGGTGCTCAGCATTCCCGGTCTGCCTGTGCAGAAGCTGGAGGATTGGGGAGCTGGAAGCCCCCAATGCCACTCTCTCTGCCTGCCCCCCACCCCGGCAGGGGGGGGTGGGAAGGCTGAGCACTTGTCCTCGCTGAAGCCTCTCAGAGCATGGACTGACTCGTCAGTTCAGAGCAAACCCCTCAGGGCCTGTCAGCCCCAGGGACTTGGAAGCAGCAAGGGAATGTCCTTTTCCTTGCCTGGGAGAAGCTCATTAGGAAGAAGACCTTCAGCTCTGGGCTCAGAGGCAACTCTAGTTAGAGCTGACTGACGTGCAGGGGGGGCCCTGGCGTCTCTGCCAGCTTCTTCCCTTGTCCCTGCTGGTGGGCGAGGCTGACACTTGGCTCTGTCATCCCAGAACTGGGACTGCAGAGGCCCGGGACACAGCTCCTGGCCTTGACACCGGCCAGCTTATGGGAAGCTGCGTCCTCTGGACCTCCTTCTGTGTTTTGTAGAACACGGGTATTGTCACCTGCGTGGCCCACTGCAGAGTGGAAACCTCAGGCCAGCCAGTCAGTGTTTATGGAGCACCTTGTGTATGCAGGGTACCGTTCTAGAACAGGGGCTGCCGCCAGAAGCAAATCAAACAGCAGTCTCTGGCTTGGGGGGGGGATGTTCTGATGGCCGACAAGAGTTGTTTGGAGACACTGAGTGTGTCCAACAGGAACAGAGGAACGTGTCAAAGGCTGACCGTGTGACTGCTGTCATTTCTTTCCTCGGTGATGGTGAGACGATCCGTTCTTACAGAGGACCAGATGGAGTGTCCCAGGGATTAGCTAGCTGCTCGGGGCCACATTCTAGTCCCCAAAGGAGCTAGAGCTGCCCAGGCGCTGGCCCCAGGATAGCTCCTCCCTGACCACCTCCTTGCCCCCCTGTTCTGAACCTCTTTATGCCAAACGGGTGTTCATTATGTGGTCTGCAGAGGCCGATTATGTTGTCCCCCATGCAGGAGGACATTCTCCTGGGTGCTATCCCCAGAAATCACAGGACTGTGCTGAGGGGCTGGGAGCCAATACCTGCCGGCCACCAGTGGCACCTGCAGTGACCTGGGACAGCTCAGCCACAGTTAGACAGTGGGAGAACTAAGAGCACCAAAGTCATGTCTGGCTTTTCCTGTGGCTTTCCCTGTCTCTGGGCACCGTTTCTCCCCCCCCCCCCCCAGAGGGGTCTCAGCCTCAGAGCCCCCTAACTTCAGGCTGCATCTCCCCTGGGGTCTGTACAACCCGCATTGGGCTTTTGCTCAGGAATCTCTCACTCTGGTCTCAGCCTTGACTGCAAGTTCAGATCCTTTATGAACTTTTTTTTTTTTCTTTTTTGTGGTGCTGGGGATTGAGCCCAGGGCCCTGTGCATGTGAGACAAACACTCTACCAACTGAGCTATGTCCCCGGCCCCCTGCTTTGGTGAACTTTTAACAACCCCCTTGCCCAAGCTGCACCCTGAGCTAAGTGACTCTCTGGGGTGAAGCATCCACATCAGTATTTCTGAAGTCCCTCAGGGACCCAAACCCCATCCAAGTTTGAAAACTGGAGCTGTACTCTGGAGAAGGTCAGTGGCTCCGGCTGCACATCAGAACCACTCGGGGAACTCTTCAGGACTGCTTGGGCTGGGGCGGAGCTCAGGGCCAGGGCACCTGCCCAGAGTCAATCCCGCTCAAGGCAAAACCCAGACAAAAAAACTGCGAAACGCATGAGCGACTCAGGCCTTGGTTCTATACAGATGGATTAAATCAGGCCCTCTCCTCTGGTCCTGGGATTCCAGACAACCTCCCCAGTAGTTTTTGTGGATATCCAGAGCTTGTCACCATGATTGGGGACAACATCCTTTAGCCTCTGGGCGTGTTGCTGTCACTGACCTAGTCCCTTGCTGGGGTCCTGGAGGGGAGGACTTAGGGCACTGAGGCAAGGGCAGGGAGACCCGTGTTAGCCTCACGGGGCAGTGGCCAGAGCCCCAGACTGGTTTTGTCCTGGTTCCAACTGTCATTGGCTATGTGACTCTGGGTATCAACCTGGGGCTCTCGAGGGTTCAGCTGTGCCATCTGAAATGAGGGGGCAGAGGACATTGCTGCAGAGCGTGACAGCTCCGTCACTAGGGAGGCCTTCAGAACCCGTTCCTGGGCCCCGCCAGAGCAGCGGCTGTGAGATGCCACATGTCCCTGGGGGTGCTGCCGAGTGGCTGGGCTCAGCAGGCCCAGATGCCACTGAAGTCAGTTCCAGGAACTGAAAGTGGCAGAGCCCAGGTACCCAGGCTCAAGTGTCCCCTGATTTAAGTAAATTTCATGTGAAAAACCTAGCCAGGCGAGGTCACATGATCCAAGGGAGAGAAGAGAGGTGCTTTCATCGAGGGCCCCCCGGGGGCAGGAGGGTTCCACCGACTGGCCTCTGCTCCCCTGCAGGACCTTCCTTATCCCTACTGCACATGAGGTTTTGTGGCTCAGGGAGGTAAAGTGACATCTCCAGGTCCCACAGCTGGGGTCCAGCAGCCTAGCCTAAGGTCCTCTGAATGCACATCCCAGCCTCCTCCCACTCTTTCCAGCTTCCCAGCCCACCCTCAGGGCTTAGCTTTTATTTTATTTTTCCTTTTCTCAATAATGCACCCCAGAGAGAGAGAGTTTTTTTTTTTTTTAACATGAATTTAAAGGATTTCTTTAAACGGTGACCTCTGTGTCTGCCCCATTTTACTAGAGTCCTGCTTTACAGGCCTTGGCTCACCCTGGACCAGTTTCTGTATCCTGCCCCCCTCCCCACCCGGGAGGCTCATTCGAAGGGACAGAGCGCCTCCTTCTGGAGACCACGGATCCCAAGGCTGGCTCCTGGCAGACCCAAGGATGGGCCTTGGGATGTTAATAGAAGAGCTAATTAAAGCTTCCAGGCGCCCCATTTGAAGCTGCGGGCTGAGGGCCCCTGGCTTCCTGCTCCTCTCCTGCCTGTTTTGGGATAATGGTGGCTCCTGTCTCCCAAGCCAGACCTTGTTTGGGGACCCTGGTTGCTCCCAGGTCCCTGGGCATCCTGAGGACAGAGCAGCCAGCACCAAGGGTTAACCGGCAACCCTCCACCTCCCTCCAACTGCCTGTGGTCCGCTAGCCTGTTGCCATGGGAACGTGGCTAAAAATAAAATGGGCTCTCCAAGCCCAGCCCCATGCATAGGAGTCAAAACAAACTAATTAAAGCAGCCAGGCTAAAATGTGAAGATAATCACACCCTCACCCAGCAGCCAGTCTGGGGATGGAAAGCGCAGCAGGCCTCCTCCAAGTCAGGGCCCCTGGGCCATCCCCGGGGCTGGCTCCTCACCATGCAGCCCTTCCAGCCCAGGGTCCCACCAAGAGCCTCACTACCCCTCCCCAGAGGCCTGAGCTCAGGCCATGTCATCGCTGTCACAGCTCCACCCCCAGCAAAACACACAGTGTGGCCTCATATTGCAGCTCCCATCTGGGGGGCCAGGAAGAAAGTGGGGTGAACAGAAGCCTGGGCTGTTTTGTCCACATCCTCCTCGAAATCCTGGAAGTCCCCTACCTGGCTCTATCCCCCAGATCTTTGCAGAAAGGTCTCAAGATCATTCCTTGTCTCTGGGGTTGCTACCCCCCACCCAGCGCCCTGGAGCCTGGAGGGAGCCCTCATACCTGCTGGTCCTGGGGATGAGGAGGCCCCGTCCTCAGGACCACATGGGTGCAGGCGCAGGCCCGTCCCACCAAGGGCTCTTTTGTCTTTCAGGACCATCAAGGTGGAGGTGTATGACTGGGATCGAGATGGCAGGTAAGTGCGCCAGAGGACAGGAGGAGGGAAGGGGAGTGGGGAGGGGAGTCAATGGGGAAGGAGGACTGGCCCTGCCCTCACATGGGGAGACTGTGCCCAAGGCCCCACCCAAGGCAGCTCTGGCCGTGAGGGAAGGTCACCTGTAGGGAGGATTGCTGCCCCCGTGTGACTTGTCTCCATCTGTGTTCTGTTGAGGCACCAGAGGACCTCTGTCCTGTAAGAGATGGTGCTGGAGCAGAGAGGCCCCTTTTCCCCAAAATAGCTGCCAGTGGCCAGCCTGTGCCTGCAATTCCCACGGTAGAGAGAATTTTGGATTTTGTGAAGTCTGCATGTTCTAGGTTCAGTAGCAATGGCCCCCTCGGGTTTGTGCACATGTTCTCCCTGTGAGGCCCAGGACTGGGCATTGTGTGTAACTGCTCAGTCCTTGGAGGCTGGACATGCAGGTGTGGCCTGGGCTCATCTGAGGAGCTGTTTGTGGAGAGGAGGGAGGAGGGACAGGCTGCAGCTAGCTGGATGCCCACCTTTGGACTCAGAGCCATGAGGCTGTGGCTGGCGGGCGGGAGGGCGGGTCCCGCAGGGTCTGGAGGCAGCCAGCGCCCTCCCCTCTTAGATCGCAGTGCCCAGGAGCCAGTGTGGCTAGGAATTAGCAGACAGTTTAGGAACGGCCCCGGGAAGCTCCAGTCCAGCATCCTCACTGGCTCCTGGTTGTCCCTTGAGTCACAGCCAAACATGTCATCCTGACTTTTTGACCTGTCCCTGCTGTTGTAATACCCAGGGGTGACCCTGAGCCTTCACAGCCCCATGATCACTGTCGGGGCCTTGGGAGTCTGTGACATGGACGTAGGGCAGTGCCTCGTCTTGTTTAAGAGCTAGGCAGATGCAGCTGCAGGTGAGACCCGGGCTCTTGCCATGAGCCACTGCAGGGCCGCCCCCTCCTCTCCTCCCACCTCGTGTGCCCCTCCATTGGCCTCACTGCCAGACGGGCCAGCTCCTTGCTGGGACCGTGACTTGCCTCATCCTACCCTGGCACTCCCCATGCTTCTCCTTGACCTGGAATATTCTCTTCCATGTCAGCTGGGGAGCAGCCACCAGGTGGCACTGGGTCAGCAGGCTGAGGACCGTACACACGTAGTCAAACTCCACGTATGTGTAGTGTGTCAGAGTACACTCGGCTGCCGTGGATGTCTAAACAGAACAAATACACACACACACACACACACACACAAACTGCCATGTGGGCTGCAGGCAGGGCAAGGCCCCAGGACACCCCCACATGGCACATTCACCAGTGCCTTCCAGCAGGGACAGTGAGATGAGAGGGAGCCCCTGGGAGCAAGGTGTGGGGGGGTCTGTTTTGTACAAGCTTTTGTTACATTCTGCTGTCCACATCTAGAAGATGTGGACGCTATAGAAAGTACTCCCAGCTGCCTGGCCGGATATGGCTTTAATTGTCTACTTAAAAACTGTTAAGAGATGGTGGAAGCTGGAGCTGAGTAGTAGAGCACTTGCCTGCATGTTTGAAGCCCTGGGTTTCACCCCCAGCATCGAAAGGGAAGGAAAAAAAACCAGAAAAGCTGAGTTTTGTGGTGCACACCTCTAATCCTAGCTGCTCAGGAGGCTGAGGCAGGAGGATCTCTAGAGCCCAGCAGTTCAGGGACCTGGGCAACAGAAGGAGACCCTGCCTCCCCCCAAAAAAAGGCATAAAAATGTTATTGAAAAGGGGCTGGGGTTGTGGCTCAGTGGTAGAGTGCTCCCCTAGCACGTGCAAGGCCCTGGGTTTGATCCTCAGCACCACATAAAAATAAATAAATAAAATAAAGATATTGTGTCCATCTACAACTACCCAGAAGAACAGAGAGAAAACTTTAATGAATACCTTTAAGCCCATCATTTGAATTTGACAATGGTTAAATTTCACCATATTTGCTTTAATGTAGTTTAAAGTAAATCATATCATGATATTTTGCCTTTAAATATTTCATTGGGAATGTCTAAAAAAGTAAGGACATTTTCCCACATAACTTCAAATGCCATTGTCACACCTGACACATTGAACAATAATTTTTGATTGCCATCCAATATTCATTTCATATTCAAATGTCCCACAATTGTCCGCCAAAATATCTTTTATTGTTGGCTTATTCAACCAAGAATCCAAGTAGAAGCGGGTCTCATTCCTCGGGGATCCTGTTCTTTGCTAGGTGACCCTTGGGTTTTCTTGCTCCATGAGTGACACTGGGTTCTCTCTCCGCAGGCACCTAGCTTCCCTAGTGGCATGTGCCCCTGGAGTGGAAGCCCAGGGGAGTCGGGAGCCAGGGGAGGGATGCCTGAGAGGCTGGGGGTGGGTGGAGGCTGCCTGCGGCCTGGGCCTCCGTCTCAGCAGCCATCTTGCCTTGCAGCCACGACTTCATTGGGGAATTCACCACCAGCTACCGCGAGCTGGCCCGCGGGCAGAGCCAGTTCAACATCTATGAGGTGAGGCGCCTGGGGCCTGGGTTGTTCTGGGGATGGGTGGCTTGCAGCCGTCATGGTGAGGGCCACAGTGAGCTCTGGGCTGGCTGGGGGCCTCCTGTGCTCTCCTGGGAGGTGGTTGGTGAGTCTCATTGTATCATTGAGGAGTCGGAGTCACAGAGAAGAGTCCTCACTTGCCCAGTCACATGGTTCCGTGAAGTAGCAGAATCAAACAACTGTTGTGACTCCACATCACTGAGTTCCTGAGCCTCCCTACAGTCTTTCCACAGGAGCAGGGCGGTGGGGGGCAGCACTAGAAGATTCTGGAAGGCTGGGGGTGCAGCTCAGTGGTGGAGCCCATGCTTAGCATGTGCAGGTCTTGGGTTCTCCCAGCTCCAAAAATTTTGAAAAAAGGTTCCGGACCTGAGACCCGAGATCTTAGTTCAAGGTGGTAACAGCTTCGGGGCCTGTGGGGCATCTTACACTTTCCAGAAAGAGTCAGGAGACCTTCCTCGGGGCTGGAGCTGGGGGCTTGGAGAAGGCCCCGATCTCTCTGGAGAAGATGGCATTTGCCCTCACAGGACATTTCTGCTGCTGAACCTTTGCTTGTGTGCTGTCCCCACAGGGATACCCCCCCACTCCTTCCGACCTGGCTCAGGCTCTACTCCTCTGAGCGACCCTCCAGCTCCTTCCAGCCACTCTGTGCTTCCTCCCTGTCCTGGACCCCCACAGCTGTCACAGTTCAAGCCAAGCCTACACAGGTCCTTACAACCCCAATAACTGCTGGGGTCTGTGTCTTGACTCTGCCACTTTCTAGCCCCGTGACCTTGGCTGAGCTCCCAGGCCCCTGGTGTGGTTCCATGCAAACTGAGAATTAAATAAGTTGATGGAACAGCGCCCGGCCCAGAGTCTGCCTGCGCAGGCTTCCGATGTCATTTGCTGGGCGCCTGTGTGCTGGGAGCTTGGCGTTTCAAGCCATTCTACTGTCGTGGCGCTGTCCCCTGTCGTGGCGCTGTCCCCAGGCTCGGCTAGTGAGCTTCAGGTGCTGGCTTGGATCCCCTGGCGGAACCCGAATCCTTTAGTCCCTCCGAATTTTCAGTCCCATTCATGCCCTCACCCGGGTCCCTGTTCTAAGCGGGCAGGTCTTGTGTTCCAGCTGGACTTCCCAAGGACAGCGAGGTGACAGCCCTCTCTGTTGCTGCCCCTCAGCCCCCCGGGCACTGCTGGGCACCCATGAGGTGCGTGCCGTGTGCTCACAGGCTGTTAACTGTGAAGGCTGGCTGGGTTTCTCTGAAGAGCTGACACTGGAAACTGCTTTGCTTTCTGCATTTACAAAGGGAGGGGCTGTCTGTGTCCCCCCACCCCTACCCAAGCAGAGAGGGGCAGACTCCACCCTTTGGGGGCCTTCTTTTTTTTTGGGGGGGGCACCAGAGATTGAATCCAGGGACATTTAACCACCAAGCCACATCCCCAGCCCATTTTATATTTTATTTAGAGACAGGGTCTCACTGAGATGCTCAGAGCCTCACTAAGTTGCTGAGGCTGGCTTTGAACTCTCGAACCTCCTGTCTCAGCCTCCGGAGCTGCTAGGATTACAGGCGTGCACCACTGCGCCCAGCTGGGACCTTCTTTGAGGAGGTGGAGAGGAGAGGTCAGGTCTCTTATTAGAGTTTGGCTTCCAAAGGTGCTCAAAACAGGCCATGCTCTCTTGGGCCAAAAGCAGAAGCGTTGGAATGACCTTGCTTCTCTGTTGTCGATTTCTGATTCTTTACAAACAGCAAGAGACGTGGCCATGTGAGAACTAAGTGGAAGAGGAACTCGACATTGGCAGCCCCAAGGGCAGGCTATGTGGGTGTCACTGGGAGGCCGGGGTGGGCCCAGGAAGACCTTGCTATAGTCAGAACTGCCCAAAGAAGGAGGAGGCTGCCCACCAGTTAAGACCCCACCCCGGTTCCTGGCGCTGCCCTGGGAGTCAGGCTCCTGGCCTCGCTGTCTGCTGACCCCTTCCTGCACTCAGCCTTCCAGGACCGACTCATGGGTGAGCCTCCCTCAGCTCTGCCCAGCCCCTGGCCAGCTGGCTGCATCTCCCACTGCCCAGCACCGGAGCCCACGGCAGGCTGGGGGTCATCCCGAACACCCCCCAGCTCCACGTCTCGTCCACCACTGAACGCTGCTCTCTGCCACCCAAACGTCCTGACATGGGATCCTCTGTCTCAGTCTTCCAGCACCATCTTTATCATCCCCTGGGTGGGTCTTCATGACAGGCACCTAAAGGGCTCTGGGGGTGGCCCGAAGTCCTGACCACAAGCACATCTTCCACATTGCCACTCAAAGGTGACTGTTTAGTGTTGAAGCAGATCTTTGAAGTGGGACGTGAGTGGTAGTCTGACCGCAGACTCCCCTTCCTGTCTAGGGCAGGTATGGTGGCACACGCAGGAGGACAAGTTCTAGGACTGAGTGACTTAGTGGGACCCTGTCTCAAAATAAAACATTAACAAGGGCTGGGAATGTGGCTCTGTGGTCACAGAGTGCCCGTGGGCACCCTGTGACTATTACCTCTTCACCATACTGTCCCCCCCCATGAAGGCCATGAAGTCCTGGGGGGGGACAGTGTCTCGCTGCTCTATGCCAGAGCCACTTGGCACCCTGGTGTACGGGAGGGCAGACCCCAGACCTGTGCTGGGGGCCCGGTGGCCTCTGGGAAGGAAAGGAGGAGGCCGAGTGGAGTGGGGAGGTTCCCCGGGTGTCCCCTAGGGGTGCTGGTGCCCTTCCTGGAGCTGGTGGCAGCCACAGGGCTGGAGAGGCGGTTCCCCGGAGGAGGGTGTGCTGTGGGGAGCCCAGGAAACCTGTGGGTAAACAGATCTGAAGAAGTGCCCACTTCACAGAAGATCTGAGTCGAACCACAGCTCTAACCTCCTAAGAGTCGCATTAGAGAGTGGACGACAGCTCATTCAGCCACACACAAGCCTTCAAAGAAAGGGGACACACCCAGGGCCCGAGGAGTCCGCCCACTCCCCCCAGCTGGGAGGACGGGGGCTGGACTTCAGAGCAGAAGCTGGGGACACACTGGGTTCTAACAGTCCAGCGCCTCGGGGAAGGCGTTGGCTCCCCGGGAACCTGCTCATTAAGCCCCACCCCATGAGCGGGTCTGGAAGTGCCCCAGCCCTGGGCAGCGAGTGCCTGTGGAGGGGCGTCCCCAGCGCTGAAGAGGGCCCTCCAAGGTGACTCTGGCCTCCTCTCCAGGCCCTCAGTTCCACTGCACTTCTTGCCAGTCACCCACCTGAATGTCCCACCTGTGCCCAAACCCAGCTCCTCTTGTCTGCAGGATCACCCCATCCCTCCTTACCCTTCCTCACCTCTGCAGCCACCCCCAAGGCCCAAGATGTGTGGCCACTTAAAAAAATTTTTTTTGGAAGTGTTAGGTGGGCAGCGTGCCTTTATTTTATCCTTATTTATTTTCATGTGGTGCTGAGGATCCAGCCCCGGGCCTCACAGGTGTAGGCAAGCGCTGCCCCACCCAGCCCCAGCCCCAGCCCCATTGGCCACTTTCAACAGTGCTGTTCTTGCCACACCTGTCCCACCCCCCCACAGGTCCTCACTGCCCGTCACCTGAATTCCTGGGGTGCAGGAATTGGAATAGCAGCTGACACCTGTACAGCACCTACGACAGTCCACCTGGTTCTGAGCACTGACGTACACTGACTCCCTTAATCCCCATTCCTTTCCCTGCGGTAGGTGCTCTCTGTGCCCATTTTACAGATGGGAAAACTGAAGCACACGGAGGTTAAGTGACTTTCCTAAGGCCACACAGCTATCGGGTGGCAGAACCAGGCAAACATCCGCTGAATGTCCCTCTTCCTCCTCCCTGGCTCTCCACCAGGCCCCAGCACCCTAGAGCCTGCTGTGATCTTGTCATCCACTAGCCTAGAGGTCCTTGGAGTTTCCTGCTGGCAGCTGGGTGACATTCAGACATTGCCCCTGGCATTCCTGGCTTGTCCAGCCACCCAGCTGACTCTTCCACCCTGGGGCTCTGCAGTCAAACCAGACCCCAGTTCTGGGCTTCTCCTCCCAGAGCATCTCCTCTGACATCGACTTCTCCATACCCAAAGCCTCCTGTCCCTCAGGGTCTGCCTTCAATGCCACCTGCTGCCTTCATTACCCCCCACCCCCCATGGTCTTTCCTCCCTCAACTCCTCCTCTTCCTCCCCCTCTGTGGTGTCCCTTGTCACTTACTGCCTTGAAGATGTATCTTATTTCTCAGACAAGAGTGACTGTTCTAAGGGAGAGGAAGTGGTCGCCCCGCCCTATGAACATGTGTTGAGAGGATGTGTTTGTGTTTTGCATCTGGGTGTCACTCCCGCATGTCTGTACCCCTGGCCTGGGGGCAGGAAGCCTGGTTTCCAGCCTTATCACCCAGATGGCTGTGTGACCTTATGCAAATCACTTGGTATCTCTGTGCCCTGTTTTCCTTATCTCCAGAAGTAGCTGTCAGTACTCATTTGGACAGGAAAGATCAGAGATGCAGCTGCAGGCCCTGGGGGCAGCACAGGGAGAGGGAGAGTGGAGTTCACCAGGTGGCCAAGCAGGTGCGAAAGTCGCCTAGCTCTGTTTGATGGGGCTGGAGGGAAAGGCTGTGCCCAGACATATCCTGTTAAAAAAAGGAAAAAAGAGCTGGCAAGGCTGAGGAGGGGAAGAGCCAGGTCTGGCAGGAGGCCCCAGGACAAGGTGGCCCGGGTCTCAGCCTTGGCACTCTGACGTTTGGGACTGGATCATTCTTTGTGGTGGCTGTCGTCCCCGGCTGTCCCCCCTGGCTGTCCCTGGCCCCCACCCATTCCCCAGTGACCACCAGAACCATCTCCAGACATTACCAAATGACTCCTGGGGGCAGACCTGTCCCTGGTTGGGATTTCTGAGTTATCCCACTGGGCCTTTATTGAGCACCTACTGTGTGCCTAACCCTGTGATAAAGCATCTGGCCATAGGTGTGGCTTTGGAAGTTAAAGCTTACAGTGACAGCCAGATGCCACATTGCCTCCCAGAAACTCGGGAGGCTGAGGCAGGAGGATAGCCAGTTCGAGGCCAGCCTCAGCAACTTTGTGAGACCCTGTTTCAAAATAAATAAGTAAAAAAGAGCTGGGGATGTAGCTCAATGATGATAGTGAAGGAGCCTCTGTGGGTCGAGGTGGTGACCCAGAGGGGAGCCTCAAAGGCCCCCCATGGCAGCTCTTGAGCTGGCCCTGCAGAGGAGCAGGGAGGATTGGACGAGGCCAAGGGAAAGGAGGGGGCCTGGGGTGTGAGAAGCAACCGGAGCCGACACGAAGGGCGGGCACAGACAGGACTGCCTTGCGACACGGAGCCCTCTCTGGCGTGGAGGACGTGTCTGGGGAGCGGTGGGAGAGGTTAGAAGAGCAGTCCAGCTGTGTTCGAGGTGGACACCGGTCTTCGCGGGGAGCGCAGTTGTGTCACTGAAGCCCGATCTCCCTCAGGACCTCCCTCGGCCCCTCTCCCTGGACTCTGTGGTCTTTGCACCCCCCACTGGCCCAGGCTGGGGCCTGGGCCACACCCAGGGTCTGTGGGAGCCCTCAGGGGCCCTCCCTGACCACTGGGAACCCGTAACTGGTCTGTTTCTCCAGGTGATCAACCCGAAAAAGAAAATGAAGAAAAAGAAATACGTGAATTCTGGCACGGTGAGTACCCCCCTCGCCACGGCTGGGTGTCCGCGCTCTGAGTGTCAAGCTTGGCCTGGGGACAGAGGCTCTGGTGCCTGTGGTTACCTGCAGAGTGTGGGAATCTGACCCAGGAGGACTGGGCAGATAGGGCAGCAGCCTGGGGGTGGACGTGTAGACCAGATGAGAGGCATTGGATCACAGAGAGACTGCATGCAGGACTTCCTGCAGGAAGAGGGGAGTTGCGTTTGTGGGGAATCCCCTAGTGAGGTGCTTTTCACAGGTTGCTTCCCTGCGAGGCAGACGTGAGCACCCGCTTGCCATGAAGAGGAAGCAGGGCTGCCAGGGGGAAGTGACTCAGCCAGGGTCACACAGCCAGAAGGCCACAGAGATGGCATCAGCTCCACCTGTTTTTCTTTTTTTCTTGGTACTAGGAATTGAACCCAGGGGTGCTTAACCACTGAGCCACATCCCCAGCCCTTTCAAAAAATATATATTTTAGTAGACTTGCCGAGTTGCCTAGGGCCTCACTAAGTTGCTGAGGCTGGCTTTGAACTCACGATCCTCCTGCCTCTGCCTCCTGAGCTGCTGGGATTACAGGCCTGTGTCACCGCGCCCAGCCAACACCACCGTGGACCCTAGGCCTGGCGCCTGCTGACAGCACTACCCCTGCTCGACCACGGCCGTCCAGGGGTGCCACCCAGGTCCAGTGGCTTCTGAAGGGTGGTCTTCAGAATATTTGTGCATTTTTTTAAGACCTATTTCTGGGCACTGCCATCCACCGGGCATTGCTGTAGGCTCAGGAGATACAGCTGGGCACAGGACAGACCCGGGTCCCTGGTACTTCTATTCTGCTGGGGGACAGAGAGAAGAAACATGCACGTGGACACGTACACCCACACACGCCGCCTGTGTTGGCCAATTCCCAGCATTTCCCAGTCTGCATCATAAAGAAAAAAAATCTCCAGGATCCGGGGAGCTTGTGAAAATACAGATGCCTGGGCCAGTTCCCTGGGGTCCTGTTTAGGAGGCCCAGGCTCAGGCCAGGGCTTTGTTTAGTGCTTCTTGTCCCTTACTGTGAGCAGAATCCCCCAGGGATCTCACCAAAATGCCAAGTCTGCATTTCTAACCAGCGCCTGCACTTTGAGCAGCAAGACTCTTGAATGTCTCCAGACACAGAGTCCCAGAGCCTGGGCATGGCAGGTGGAGGTGGTGGCCATTCCCTGGCTGCAGGTTAGAGTCCTGTGAAGAGGTAAATTAAGATCTCCGAAACTGTCCTGTCGTCCCAGAAACTCTGATAGAGTTGGTTGGAGGTCCCCACCTGGGCTGCAGGATGTCCTCAGAGCTCCCCAGGGAGCCTGATGGCGCTCAGTCAGGGCCGAAGCCAGGGCCATCGTCCATTCCAGAGAGTCACCATGCTCAGGAGGCTCAGCTGTTCCTCCAGGTGCCCAGCACGGTGAATTGGGGCACCTGGGGCCCAGCTCAGCGCCCGCAGACCCTCCCTTTGCTCAGGTAAAGGCTCATTTGTCTTGTGGCCCTGGGCCTGGCGCACCCTGAGCTGGCGTCGTGTCCAGGCTCCCAGAGACGCCGGCTCTCTTCTGAGGGAGAAGGGCCCTGCTTGGCCCTGCCTCACTTTCCTGCCTTAGGAGGCCCAGCTCCATGGTCTCCCCAGCCCGAAGCCCCTGCTGTCGTGAGCTGCCCTGTGGTGGCCTGTCTTGGCTGCTCCCGAGGGTCTTGGGCCTGAGGGTGGGGGCTGAGAGACACCGAGGGCTGAGGAGGAGCAGGGAGGTCTAAGATAAGCACAGATCAAGAGGCCCGTCTCGGGGTCCCTAGAGGTGCACAGAAGCACGGAGCTTGTTAGTGTTGGCAGTGGTCAGTCCTGTGCCAGGCAAGAGCCTCTCTCCTCCCCACCCCACCCCGGGGATCCTAGGGCAGGAGAGCCAGCACCCACTCAGAGGACACTTGTGCCCTTGGCCTGGGTCCCTGGGCTTCAGTGACAGGTGGGACCCTTTGGGATGCAGTTTGACATCAAGATTGAGGGTGTAGGCTCACGCCTGTAAGTCCAGTGGCTCGGGAGGCTGAGGCAGGAAGGTGGCAAGTTTGAGGCCAGCCTCAGCAACTTAGCAAGGCCCTAAGCAATTAAGTGAGACCCTGATTCTAAATAAAATATAACAGGGCTGGGATGTGGCTCGGTGGTCAAGCCCCTGGGTTCAATCCCCAGTACCCCCAAATAAAAAAAGAACGCAGGCTCTGAAATTAGACCCCGGGTCAGATCCCACCCTGCCACATCCTGGCAGTATTCCTAACGTGCTGTGTCACCTCTTGGGGCCTCAGTTTCCTTGGTTGTAAAATGGAGATAATAATAGGGCTTCAGGGGGTTGCTAGGGGCACGGTCTGCAGTGACGTGGGCCAAAGTGGCTCATGCTAAGTGCTTCACCGTGTCAGCTGTCACATAGCGTCATGAACCTTCTCCCCACCCCGTGCTTCCCACTAACCAAGCCCCCTTTTGTTTTCAAGGTCACTCTGCTGTCCTTCGCGGTGGAGTCCGAGTGCACCTTCCTAGACTACATCAAAGGAGGGTGAGGAGAACCGGCCTTGGGGAAGGGGAGGGGGCACCCACACTGACCACTCTGGGGCTCTGGCCCCACCCTGGCTTCTTTGAGATCCTGGACCAAGCCTGTGACACTGGGCTCTGAGCACACCCCAGTGTCTGACCAGACACAGCCGCTCCAGAGCCCTGTCTGCCCCTGGATCCTGAGCTAGGGAGGCCAGCCTGGGTCATGTCCCCACGTGGAGATGGAGCCTGGAGGTGTTGGGAACCCCATGACAGAAAGAACCAAGGGGCTTGGGGAAGTGGAAAAGCCCTGGACCAGGAGTCAGAAGACCCCGACTCTAGCCCCTCTTTGCCGTAAAGTTGCTGGACTGTTTGGGTCAAGTCCCTCTCCCTCCCTGGGCAGCAGTGTCCTCTGCAAAGAGATTATATAGAGTAGGTGAGGTGGAAGGTCCCCTCCAGCTCTGTGCATCCTGTACCTCTGATCTGTCAGGGCGGGGGCAGTGGTGACTTGCTGTTATCAGGGATCATCTGTAAGGGGCAGCAGGATTAGGGGATGAGCAAGGGAAGGACCCAGGGACAGCAGGTGGTCAAACACGAGTTTAAGAGGCAGATAGGACCAGAGAGACAGGCATCCAGGCCCAGACACACAGCGAGGCCAGGAGGTTCTGGCCAGCAGCTCATGGAAAGAGCCTGACCCTAAGCAAAGGCCCTGTCTGGTGTGATCCCTGCCCGGCCAGGGCGTGGGCAGCTGAGAGCCGACAGGTGCAGGCAGGTGAGTGATTGCACCTGCCTGGAAAGGAGACAGGTGGGGGCAGCTGCCAGAGAGGCTGGTCCCCGCCGAGTAGGCACTTGGCTGCCCGGTCCTCCAGGGCAGAGGGAGAGGTGGAGCCCTGGATGACAAACACACTTTCCCGTGACTTGCCTCCCTGCATCCTTGAACTTGCACAGTCTCAAGGTCGATAGTGTCCTAGCCACTGAGCACACACACAGACACACCCTCCCTGCAGTCACCAGAAGCCTCCTCTGGCCCTTCCTAGCCGGCTCCACTCCCTGCCCTTGCTCCCTCCCCCATCAGACCTGCTGCCTCCTCTGACCCATTAAGCAGGCAGCCCCTGCATCCGGGTAATTTTCAAACTATTTCCACCCTGTTTATCCTTCTCATTTGCATAGCGCCTGCCACTTACAGAATGCAGGTGTGTGTGTGTGTGTGTGTGTGTGTGTGTGTGTACCTTGTCTCCATTTTACACACCTAGATGGTGGCAGGGATCCCACTGTCACAACTTGCTGCCTTTTGTCCCTTAGTGGTTAATCTTGGCCCTGCCAGGCCCCTCACTTCCAGGTGGGTGGGATGGAGCTGGAGACGGTGAGTGAAAGGGCCGAATGCTGTGTGGTCTTGTGAGAGGGAGCCCTCCCAGGACAGGCCACTGGCAAAGCTAACACCTTGGCCCTGGCCCAGAGCCAGCCCTCCCTCCCCACGGCTCTCTCCAAACTCCCTGGAGAACCTGAGTAAGAGAACTGGCTCGGCAGTGAGAGCCCGGCCTGCGTGTCCAGGCAGGAAGCGCTGGAAGCATTTGTCTAGGGACCCTCTCCTCCTGGTCCCTGGCCCACCTCATGCATTCACCAGGACCCAGGAGGAAGTTCTGGACACCTGAGCCCCACGGCAGACCACGATGCTCCGCAGCCTGCATTCTGCCCGGAGGCAGGAGCCGCGGGGCTGCAAGGAGCAATTCCTTACAGAAGGGGCTGCTTTCCAGTTGCTCCCCCCCCCAGCCCCCACATTTTTTTTAGGATGCAGAGGAGAAAATCAAGGAGTAGGGCAGAGCCCTCCCCTCACCCTGTTTTTGGGAGAGCCAGTACTCAGCTGTTGTCATGCAGGCCAGAACCACTGGGGTAGGGCTCTAACAAAGGCACCCACGGAGAGGTGACAACACACAGCAGAGAAGATGAATAGGGCAGATGGAATGCTGCGATAGTGATCCCCAGACCTCAAGGCTCAATTCATACATGCTTGGTTCTCATGGGGGCACCGCGGGGTTGGGTGGGGAGATGGTCCACCAGTCACCCAGGGCTCCAGGCTTTTGTGGTTCCTTCTCCCCTAGAGACAGGAGTCCGTGGAATGCTCCACCCTGCAGAAGAGGGGGAAGAGGGTGTGTTGTGGGGGGACGTCTGTCTCCGGCCAGCAGACCCTGACTTGAGTCTCCTGTTAACCATGTCCTTGACCTTTCCCAGGACAAGGGTCCCATGAAGGGCAGTTCAGCTGTAGGGTCAGCTGTGGGTTCTGATAAGGACCTTTTGCTAAATGCAAGATGAGGTCTGCCTCCTCGCATGCCCTGAAGCCCCAACTCAGGGCCACCAAAGCACTTTCCCCAAATGTGATCCCACAACCCCCTCCTCAGAATCTCTAGGTCTTAGTTAGGGAGGTAGATTCTGGGGCCCTACTCCTGACCAACTAAATTGATATCTCGGGACTGGAGCCCGGAATCTTCTCCCTACGCTCTCTGCAGTCTGAGAACCACAAGACTCGACTTCATTAGGGGCCCAGGTATTGATGCACTTTGTTCTCTCTGTGTCTGGCACAAATCTTAGAACACAGCCCTCAGAGAGTGTCAACCTGGATCTGAACCCCCCAAACTGACAGTTTATTATAGAAAATTTTAAATGTGAAAAAGTGGAGAGAAGGCAGAGTAAACTCCCGAGGGCCCCCCAGCAGGCTCTAGCAGTTACCAGCTCAGCCGGTCTCAGGTGTCAGGATGTCTCCCTAAAATATAAGGACTCTTTCTTTGTAAAACATTGCCATAATACCAGAATCACTAAAATAAACCATAATCCATAATTGGTAATAATACCATAATCACTAAAAAAAATCAAGCAGTTCCTTAGTGCCAAATATCTAGTCAGTATTCAAATGTCCCCAATTGTCTTACAAAGTGTTTTAAAAATGTTTTGTTTTAGCTGGGCGCAGTGGCGCATGCCTGTAATCTCAGTGGCTCACAGGAGGCTGCGGCAGGAGTTCAAAGCCAGCCTCAGCAAAAGTGAGGCCCTAGGCAACTCAGTGAGACCCTGTCTCTAAATAAAATAAAAAACAGGGCTGGGGGATGTGGCTCAGTGGTCGAGTGCCCCTGAGATCAATCTCCGGTACTAAAAAAAGTTGTTTGAGTCAGGAATCTAGGCAAAATCCATATATTGATTGGTGGATTTCTCTCTTAATTCTCTTTTCATCTGTTGTTTCCCCCAAGCACATGAAGGGCTAAAATAGATTCCTGCATTCCCCAAGAGATTCTGATTCGGGAGGTTCAGAGGGGACCCAAGAGCCCCAGGTTCCCAGGTGATGCTGACGCTGCTGGGCATCTTGTCCAGCACGGACCTCTCTCCACTGTGCTCCGTTGTGGTTTCCCCAGGCTGGATTTTGCTGGCTACATCCTGCATGGTGTCATTTAAACATGTGCTCTGTTCCCTTGCATTTATTTATTTATTTGGTACTGGGGATTGAGCCCAGAGGTGCTTGACCACTGAGCCGCATCCCCAGCCCATTTTATTTTTTTATTTTGAGTCAGGGTTTCACTAAATTGCTTAGGGCCTTGCTAAATTTCTGAGGCTGGCTTCAAACTTGTGATCCTCCTGCCTCAGCCTCCCAAATTGCTGGGTCAGATTTCTTGGCAAGACAGCTTCACGGGTGGGATCCTGCCCTTCCCTCAGGAGATGTATCATGTCTGTCTTTTAGTCACTCATTTTAATCCTGAATCGGACTCCAATTTGGACTAGAAACCCATTGAGGCCAGACCTCACCTGGTCCACTCAGGTGGGCCCAGAGGGCAGGGTTCAAGGAGGAAGGGAGGAAGGTGGCCGCATGCGCACACAGAACAGATCACCTACCAAGAGCCTTCGAGCTGCCTGACTCCCGCTCACAGCAGTCCCTTGGGGGAGGCCTGACTGGCATTACTGTCCCAGCCTCAGAACTGGGAGGAGTGGCAGCCAGCTTCTTCCCTCCCTGCCCAGCAAGGTCCACCCTCCCCACAGCCCTCCCTCTCTCCAGGTGACTCCCTGGCTGTTCTCCCTCTTCTAGGACCCAGATCAACTTCACGGTGGCCATCGACTTCACAGCCTCCAATGGTGAGTGGGGGATGGGCAGAGGGAGGAGCAGCTCTCAAGGGCCCTGGGGGCTGACCTGACCACGAGCCACTTCCTCTACGCTCTCTGGCCACTTCCTTACCAAAAAAAGAGGTCCTGAGGCCCACAGGACCAAAGACACAACCAGGATGCGGCCGTCTCCCTCGGCCAGACACTGACCCTGCACATCTGGGCTCCTGGGCATCGTGCCCGGGTCTTACCCTCCTGTCGTGTGTCAGAAACCCCTCTTAGGGTTGCAGGGCCCAGCATCATGGGGTGCTAGCAGAACTGGGGGGACTTAGTAATACTAACAGCGACAACACTTACATTGATAACGCCTGCTTGATTCTCTGCAATCCTAGGAAGTAGGAACTATTATCCCCATTTTACTGATGAGGAGACTGAGGCTGAGAGGTTAAGGAACTTACCAAGGTCACACAACAAGGAGGTAGAGACAGCAGTGGCACCTTGGTCATCTGTCCTGCCTCTTAATGAACCTGTGAACTCCGCCGGGGAGCTGAGCGCCGGGTTGTAGGCACAAGGTGGACGGAAGCAGGGAGGCCCATCAGGAGGCTGCAGAGGGCAGTGCTCCTGTGGGGGGCAGAGGTGGGATTCCGGGTCCGTTTTGAAGGCCCAGCAGCTGGGGACACTGAAGGATTGAACACATGCTGAGAAACAGGCGTCAAGGATGGATGAAGACAAGTTAGGGTGCCCTTCCACACCCCTTCTGCATTCTGAGCCTGGGGTCCAGGCCAGCAGATATCCCTGTGTCCTGTGTCGCAGGGAACCCCTCGCAGTCCACGTCCCTGCACTACATGAGTCCCTACCAGCTGAATGCCTACGCGCTGGCGCTGACTGCGGTCGGGGAGATCATCCAGCACTACGACAGCGACAAGATGTTCCCTGCCCTGGGCTTCGGAGCCAAGCTGCCCCCCGACGGCAGGGTGTCCCACGAGTTCCCACTGGTAGGAGGTCCCAGGAGTGGGTGGGTGCAGACTAGGCCAGGGGTGTGGTGACAAGCCCAGGTGGGCGTCGGCTGCTCTGCTGGGCCTGGGGACCTAAGGCGCAGCCTCTGGGGGGCTTGGCACCCACTCTGCATAGGGACAGGGTCAAGGCCTCTGGCAACCCATGCCTGGCCCTCCCTGCGCGTGAGTCCCTCTCCTCCAAGTCTGGGCTGCCCACAGCTGGCTCTGGGCTCCCCATTCCTGAGAAGGTGCAGGTGGAGGGGACCTAACCCCAGGCCCCCAGAAAGAAGATAAGGGGGTGCTGAGATAGGGTGAGGTGGGTTCCCCTGGTGACAGAACCTGGCACTGTGTGGGGCTCCTTGGCCCTGTGTAGATGATACTCAGGCCACCTTCCGTCCTTGTGTCCCTCCCTCCCATGAGCAGGGGACAGTCAGTCCTCGTAGCTTACTCCTGCACCTGGATGTGCCAGGTGCCATGCTGGGCACAGGACGCTTGAGGACAGAGGAGTCACAGGCCCTTCCTGAGTCACTCATGAGGGTTCGGAGGGTGTGCCAGAGGGTGCCTAAGGGAAGCGTCTGGCTCTCCAGGGATTTTTTTTTTTTTTTGGTACCAGGGATTGAACCCACGGGTGCTAACCCTCTGAGCCACCTCCCCAGCCCTATTTTGTATTTTATTTGGAGACAGGGGCTCACTGAGCTGCTTAGGGCCTCGCTAAGTTGCTGAGGCTGGCTTTGAACTTGTGATCCATCACCGCACCAGCTCTCCAGGGCCTTTTTGAGCAGGCACTGGGCAAGGAGCAGGTTTGGCCCTTCAGGGCAGCTCTGGGAGGCCCAGGCTGCTGGCCCCCCGACCCTGTTTGTGCTCCTGTAGGCCCCCTCCTTCCTCCCTGGGCTCAGCCTCTCCGTCCTCTGTGCCCCAGAATGGCAACCAGGAGAACCCGTCATGCTGTGGCATCGATGGCATCCTGGAGGCTTACCACCGCAGCCTGCGCACCGTGCAGCTCTACGGCCCCACCAACTTCGCCCCTGTGGTCACCCACGTGGCCAGGTGAGTGCAGGGCCGCTGGGCTTCCTCCCACAGCCCACAGGGCCTTTGGCTTGGCCTGCCGTCTCTGGATGGCACACCTCTCTTCCTGTGGACCCCCTCTCAGTGAACCCTGACTCTGAAGAGACCCCTCCTCTCCAAAAGTCTGTCCCCATCAAAGTTCAGGGTCCTGGTTGGGGGATTTGTGCCAGAGGCCCATAGGACCTCAGCCCTTGCTCGCCCGTCCAGGAGCGCAGCGGCCGTGCAGGACGGCTCCCAGTACTCGGTGCTGCTCATCATCACCGACGGGGTCATCTCGGACATGGCGCAGACCAAGGAGGCCATCGTCAACGTGAGTGAGGAGGGTGGGAGACACAGAGGGAGGAGTCGGGGGACACTGGGGTGGGGCCCAGTTCTCTCCCCGCCCTCATCCCTGTCCTGGCTGTTGGCTGCGTGTCTGCTGAGACTCTGGGGAGGGCCGGAGTGTGGGGTGTGGGGGTGGTGGATGGAAGGGGCTCTGGGCCACTGAGTTCTGGCTGCTGAGCTCTGCCCACCTCTTAGTCAACCCAGTGGTCCCTCCCTCCCGAGGCCTGTGGCTCCCTCCCTTACCTGTCTCTAGGACTGCTGCCCAGGCCCCAGCCAGCCAGGCCAGGTAGAGGGGGTGGGCCCCGGAGGGAGCCATGGCTCCAGGCTCCCTGTGCTCTTCCACCACAACTGCCCTAGTCCTTCCTCCAAAGCACAGAACAGAGGGGCCCACATGGTGGGAGCCCAGCAGCAGAAGAGGGGACGGGTGGGCACAGAAGCAGGCCTGTGACCCATTCCCCCTGCCCCCTCCCTCCCACCCCTCTTCCCTGGGCCCTGCCTCCGTTCCCCTCTCTCTCTCCCCGTTTTCTGTACTTCTCCCTGTCTGTCCATCATCCTGCCTCTCTCTGTGGACCCCCCTTCCTGCCCCGTCCACAATCTCTGTTTCTTTCACCTGGCCCCTTGGGTCTGACCGCCCCCACACTGTCTCTCAGGCTGCCAAACTTCCCATGTCCATCATCATCATCGGCGTGGGCCAGGCAGAGTTCGATGGTGAGTCCCGAGGTCCCCTCTGTCCTCCCTATTTCCCCCCGCCCATGTTCCCCAGAGCCCCAGTGCCCTGTGAGCCCCAGACAGTGAGCGCTGAGGCCTGGGAGTGTGACTGTCCGGGTGTGTCTGTCTGCACAGAGAGGGGCGTGTCAGGGTGTGCACCCCACGCCCTCACCCCAAGGCTGCAGGGAGGAGGCCCCAGCCGCTCCTTTCTCCTCCAACCCTGGAACCCGGGAGGGTGGGAAGCAGGAGCCCTGGGCTGGGATCACCCTGGGCTCGGTGGCTGGGCTCCTCCTGACTCCCAGCCTTGGTTTCCTCGTATCTGACATGAGGGCCCGGCAGATGGCCTCTGCCCTGGTGTAGCCCGGGACTGGAGGACAAGTCTGCAGACGGGTCCCACCTGGTCCAGGCTCCCACCACTAACCCCTCCCCGCCATGTCGCTCCTCCCCACGCAGCCATGGTAGAGCTGGACGGCGATGACGTGCGGATCTCCTCCCGGGGGAAGCTGGCCGAGAGGGACATTGTCCAGGTGAAGCCCAGACCCTGCCTGCTGCACAGAAATGCAGACTCCAGCCCTCTGAGCCCCTGGGGTTCCGCAGGCCTCCTGGGGAGGGGCCTGGCCGTCACCGAAGGGAGGAGTCAGTCCCTCCAGTCACACTTCTCCCGAGGCTGGGCTCTCCCTTAACATTGCTGGTGTCCTCCCAACCCAGATGCTCTGCCAGCCCTCCCTGCACCCCAGGCTCCCTGGCCATGCACTTTCTGTTGTTTCCTGCCTGGTGGCCTCCCAGTGACATGCAAACCCTCCAAGGTGGAGGTGCTATCCTTAGTGTCACCACAGCCCTCTGCAGGAGTGGGCATTGCGTGGTTCAGTGAACCGGTGTCTTCGCATCTCCACGCAGGACACAAATGGAAAGAGCAAGGGCCCTGTCCCCAGGGAATTCCCATCCGGCCAGGTTGTGGAAGCCATCCTCAGCCAGCACGTGTCCCTTTGAATCCCCTGCATACCATGTCCCCAGTACACAGGCAATGCAGAACCCCAAAATGCAGAACCTCAAAATGGACATTCTCATAACCCATTGGTTTACAAACTGGAGAACAAAGATAAGGGATGGAACCCAGAGTAAAGGTGGTCTGGGATGAGGGACCAGCATGAGCAAAGGCCCTGGGGCGGGAGTGAGCCCTTGGGGGTGCTGCAGGGAGGAAGGGAGAGAGGCCTGACTGTGGTGTTGACCAGATTAGCCTCAAAGATAGAAGGAGAGGGGGACAGGGAGCCAGGGCTCTGTTGGAGAGTTGGGAGGAGGCCGGGGCCCAAAAGGGGATTGTGCAACCTTTGCCAGCACCTTCCAAGGGCTCACCATGGTGCCCAGAGCCAGAGATTGAGGAGTGTTCCTGAGCCGTGGAGCCTGGCATGGGACAGACACACCATGAGTATTTTTTAAGTGAATGAAAGAACAGTGACTATGATGGTCCCTGGGGAGTTCACCTAGGGGACTTGAGTGAGGTGGGCAGGGTCTTGGAGGGGGTGGGACATGACCCCAGTCCTGCATTTTTGGGAGGCCAGGGTCCAGGGAGCCACCCCTTGACCCTGCCTTCCCGCCTGCCAGTTTGTGCCCTTCAGGGACTATGTGGATCGCACAGGCAACCACGTGCTGAGCATGGCCCGCCTGGCCCGCGACGTGCTGGCCGAGATCCCGGACCAGCTGGTGTCCTACATGAAGGCGCAGGGCATCCGCCCGCGCCCCCCGCCCGCAGCGCCCGAGCCCTCGCCGCCACAGTCCCCGGCCCGCACGCCCCCTGCCTCCCCGCTGCACACGCACATCTGAGCCTGGCTGTGCAGGCAGGTGCCCCGGGAGTGGGGGGCCAGGCCAGTAGGCTGAGTCCCCAGTCCCCTGCTGTCGGCCCACCCAGCCTTTTGGACATCGCAGTGCCTGGGAGGCTGGCAGGGGCGGGGCCTCCGGAGGCTCCTCCCCAAATCCCTGGCCTCGACGCAGGGGTGCGCAGGGTCCTGGGCTCAAGCCCTCTGCTTCCCGATACTCCCCTGTAGTCCAGCCAGGAGGGTGTAAATGGGGGTAATCGCCCCCCATCACTGCCAGTAGTCCCATCTGCTCACCTAGCACCTGAAACCCGGCCTGGGCCAGGGCCCTCCCATCCTCCTGAGCTGTCCACTCCTAACCCGGGTCCCCCTCCAATTAACGCTCCTGTGCCCTGTTTGGGGTGCACCCCGAGGTGATGGGTCTGCAGGAATGCTTGAGCCTGTGACCCTCCCAGGAGCACCCTGTGCCGGGGAGCCCTGCCGCCCCCTGAGTGGGGCTGTGCTGGCCCAGGGTCAGGCTTTTTAACAGCCCTTTCTGGAACCTCAAGTCCAGTGTGACACGGTCCAGACATAAATGCCCAGGCCTCTCCTTGGTGTGCGCTGCAGGCACTTTCACAGCTGACTCCTGGCCCCAGGTGTCCCTGCTCCTCCGGGGTGTCCGCTCGTGGCCTGCCCTCCTCGAGGCCCCCTGCCCTCGCCCTGCTCTCTCTGGGGACGAGAGGCAGGAATGCTAGCTCCAGCCCCGCCGCCCCTGCCTGTCGGGGGAACCCCGAGGCCCTTCGCCTTCTGGGCCTCGGTTTCCACATCTTTATGGGGAGAGGGTTGACCAGATAGTCCCGGGGTCTCCCTCTGTAGTGGCTTCCATGTCCAGCTCCCCCATCGCGCTCCTCACCGGCGCCACCCTTACCCCAGGCCGTCTTGGCTCAAGGGTCACCTTGTTCCATTCTGTCACCCCAGGTACACCCCATCCTTCCGACTTGGGCTCCTGCCCTGCTGTGGGAAGGTGGGAGGGGTCTCCCCGCCCCGCCGCCCGCCTCCCCCACCTGGGGCGCAGGTCTCGCATGCCGTCCTGCCGCATGGGCCTCCCACCCTCTCACTCCGTCGTGCATGGTGGTGGTGGTGGTGCTGTTCTGCCGTCTGGTCCTGTACTGTCTCTGAGACCGTCTGTGTGGAATTTGCCTTAAACTGAAGTAAATTTGGTTCTTTTAGTAGGACCTTGTTTGCCGTTCTCTGTGGCACAGGGCTGCTGGTTGTCGGAGCCCACCCCCCTTCTCTCCCTCTCTCTCTCTCTCTCTCTCTCTCTCTCTCTCTCTCTCTCCAGTTACCTTGTTCAGCCAGGATTCACTGAGCACCTGCCCTGGGCCTAGGCGTAGGGGCTGCCACAGTAGACAGAGAGAGGCCGTCTCCATGGGGACCTCCAACAACACAGATAAGAAAAACACAATGGCACACAAGCAGACAGGTTAACAGAGCAGTTCTGGGCGGTGACAAGGGTTACCAAGAGAAGTAAGAGAATGACAGGATAGACAGTGGTAGAGTGGCATTTTATTTAATTAATTTCGTTTTCCAATATTGGGGATTGATCCCAGGGGCGCTTTAACACTGAGCCATACCCCTAGTCCTTTTTTAATTTTTTTAGACAGGGTCTTGCAAAATTGCTGAGGCTGGCCTCAAACTTGGGATCCTCCTGCCTCAGCCTCCTAAGCATCAGGATTACAGATGTGTACCACCATGCCCAGGTAGAGTAGCATTTTAGATGAGGTGACCAGGAGGTGACAGTTGACATGAGCTCTAAGGAAATGAGACAGGAAGCCATGCTGATATCTAGGGCAAAAAGGTTCCAAGCAAAAGGAATAGCGAGTGCAAAGGCCCTGAGGTAGGAGTTTGGTGTGTTTGAATAAGAACAAGGAGGCCAATGTGGTTGGAGCTAAGGAAGGGAACGTGCAGGAGATGAGGTCAAAGAGGTGAAGAAACCAGAATGCACAGGGTCATGAAGTCCATGATAAGGCTTTTGACATTTACTCTGGTGAGTCCGAGAACCACTGAGGAGATGAGAGGTGAGTACGTGATCAAATTCTCTAAAGCATATGGATGACTCTTGCAATTAACCTCTCATCTCTCAACCAGTATTTACTGAACACTGAGCCAGTCCCTGCTCAGTGAGAGACACACTGAGTCACATGCAGTCATAACCTCAAAGGAAGCCCTGATCTAGGGAAATGAGGAGGGTATCAGTGCCACCATGGAGCATTGGTGCCAGGCCAGTGGGAGGGACCAGGGCCTGGGGGCACCAAAAGGGAGCTCCCAGCCCAACCTAGATGACTCACAGGCCACGTGCCCATGACAAGTTCCTGCCACTCTGTGCAGGGGCCCGTCTCTCCTCCCTGAAGAACTGTAGGGTCAAGCAGAGTGACAGGTAGGCACGTCATAGTGTGTGCACACGCCCAGGGCCTGCTGCACTCCAGGCACACAGTAAGTGCTGTCCTCCTCCTGGTCCCAGTAGACATTAGGGACCAGGATCCCAGGGAAGGGGGACTTCTTGTCTTCTCCCAGCAAGTTTGCCCTCAGATCAGCCCTCTGGGCAGGCATTAGAACCCGCACATCAGAGGAATTCAGCACTAATTATACCAAAAGTTTGGGACTTATTTACTTCTTAAGATTTTATAGTAAATTAGAGCTGATTCACGGCCGTCTCTGTAATTAGATGCCCCTGTGACTTGCGTTAGGCTTAGTGGGAATGGGGTGGGGTCACAGCGTTGGAGAAGGGAAGTTCCCATAACCGGTGGCCCATTGTACTTAAGCCTGGGCACCGTGGGAAAGTATTGAGAGGAGATGCCACCCGGCAGAGAAACGGGGGTTCAGAGCCGCTGCCCTGAAACAGGACGTGGGGAGCATCTGTTGTGTCTGACACTAGCTCCTCTCCTGGGTTCTTTCCACGTATGTGCCACAGAACTCTGGTTTCCCGGAACGGAGTTGGGGAAACCTCTCCTCTGAGCCTCTCTGGGAGGGTATTCAAGGATCTGACAAGTTCTGCAGCCAAGGGACAGGTTTGACTTGGTTCAACCCAATATTTCCCAAGCCTTTGACCACAAAGCCAGTTGTGTGTGTGTGTGTGTGTGTGTGTGTATGCACACGCGCTTGTGGAGCTGACAGCCCTTTTACCAAGCAAAACATGCGCCTTGGGAATTTCAGTAGAGAGAACTTCCCAGGTTCCCAGGCCAACAGGAGGCTGAGGCCTGCCCCAAGGAGGCTGGAGGGAGGCCGCAGAGCAGGAATGTCGGGGAGCAGAGGGGTGGGGAGGTGAGGCCTGGGAAGAGCCCTGCCAAGCCACATAGGGAGGAGGAACCCCACAGAACAAGCCGATGCTCCTACATCCACAAGCCCTGCTCCACACTCCGTGAGGACTTCATTCTCATTCCATTACAGCCGAGGGATGTGTGGGACCGATCTGGGGCTGGGGCAGAGAAGGGAGAGGGGACAGAAAGGTCCCCAACTCTGAGCTCTCCCCTGGCTCCCACTTAGCCCCGCGACTCTGCCAGGCTGTGGGTTCCCAGGACACCCCTTTGCTTCTCTGCCTTTGGAAGCCCCTCTGACCCCTCTGATTCATTCATCTCAAATGCCTCTGAGTTAAAAGAAGGCAAATCATAATAGTAATAATAACCCACACTTTTTTTTTTTTTTTTTTTTTTTTGGTACCAGGGATATAACCCAGGGACTCTACCACTGAGCCACGTCCTCAGCACCTTTTATATTTTATTTAGAGACAGGGTCTCGCTGAGTTGCTCAGGGCTTCACTAAGTTGCTGAGGCTGGCCTTCCTGCCTCAGCCTCCCCCGTTGCTGGGATTACAGGGGTGCCCCAGCGCCTGGCCTGACCCACACTCTTATGCACTAACATGGTTCATTCATCTTCATGACTGTGAAGGAGGCAGTCTCCTGACCCCATTTTACACATGAGAAAACTGAGGCATGGAGGGGTGAAAGGCCTCGCCTAAGCTCATCCAAAGTAGCGGCATCAGGGGTCTGGGTGTCCCAGCCTATCTCCCTAGTCACCTACACATGTGAGCTGGAACTCAGCCACTGCTCCAGCTGCGCCCCCCCCCCCCGTGGACCTGTCTCCCTACTGGTGGATGGAAGAGCTGGGCTCCCCCCATTGCCCCTGAACCTCAACCCTCCCAGCAGTCTCTCGGCTGAGATCCCTCTGGGCTTCCCGGGGCTCTGAGCGCCCAGGCTGGGTGCTGTCCCTCCCTGCAGCAGCCCCTCCCACGCCCCTGGGACGCCTGCGGCAAAGATCCCTGAGCCCTGCGCGGAAGGGGCGTGAGAGGCACAAGCAGAGGAGCGGGCTGACGGCGCAGTTGGAGTAGGCCAGGAGGGTGCAGAGGCTGGAGGCCACGAAGGTCACCGGTGTGTCGGGCAGGCGGCCGGTGGCCGCCACATAGCCCAGCACGGAGCAGGGCCCCCACATCAGCAGGAAAACCAGCAGCACCAGGAGGACGAGCCCTGTGTTCTCGCGGTGCTCCCGGACGCTCTCCCCCGGGGGACCCCGCGGCCGGGTCCGCAGGAGCCAGCCCACGTGGCCAAAGGCGCAGCCCAGGCCCCACGCGCAGGGCAGGAAGGCCAGCGCCCCCAGCAGGGCGAAGTAGCGCGAGGCCCGAGCCGGGCTGAGCAGCAGGAGGCAGGCCTGGGCCCCGGGCGCCCCCACGGCCTGTGGCTCCACGGTCACCCGCTGGAACAGCCAGTTGGGCAAGGATGCGGTGAGACCCAGGACCCACATGGCCCCACAGAGCAGCAGGCGGGCACCCCGGCCGGCAGGGAGGGCGGCGCCGGGCCAGGCCACAGCCGCGTGGCGCAGAAGGGCCGTGGCCACCATGCTGTAGAAGGTGCAGAACATGGTGGCCGTGTTGATGGCCTGGCTGGCCGTGCAGACCGTGGGGCCCAGCCACCAGTCGTGGCGCAGGAAGCTCAGCAGCTGCACGGGCACCACGCAGCCCAGGAAGAGCAGGTCGGAGAGCGCGACGTTCACCATGAGGCCGTTGGTCAGGGCGAGCAGCGGGCGTGGGGAGCCCGGGCCCCGGCCCAGCACCAGCAGCAGGAGGCCGTTGGCCGGCAGCCCCGCCAGCAGGACCAGCCCGCAGAGCCCCGCCAAGGCCGCTCGGAGCAGGCGCGCGGGGGCCCCCGGGAGCCCCCCAGGGAAGGTGGCGTTGGGCTCCATTCTGTGTCAGGCACACAAGGACAGGGTAGAAATCAGACCCCTGGGCCACCTCCCTGCGCTTGGCCGGCCTCCTCCTCCCACAGCCTCTGCCTGCCGTGCGCCCAGATGCCTGCCCGCCCTGGCAGACACCAGCCCCTGCTGCCCTGGCACCACCGCCCCACAGTCCAGCTGCCAACGCCCGGCCACACCCTGACCGCCCCTGGCCCGGGGAGGTTCTGGATGATTCTCTACCTCGGATTCCTCAACAGTACAGAAAAGAGGAAATGAAACAAGCCTGGCCGGGTGGCGCAGCCTGTGATCAGAGGCTCAGGAGGCTGAGGCAGGAGGATCGCGAGTTCAAAGGCAGCCTCAGCAACTTAGCGAGGCCCTGCCTCTAAATAAAATACAAAATAGAGCTGGGGATGTGGCTCAGTGGTTGAGCGCCTCTGGGTTCCCTCCCTGGTACCACACACATAAAATAAATTGATTAAAAAATAAAAGGAGGGCTGGGCTGTAGCTTAGTGGCAGAGTGCTTGCCTAGCATGTGTGAGGCCTGGGTTCAATCCTCAGCACCACATAAAAATAAATAAAATTAAGCCATGCTGTCCATCTACAAGTACAAAAAAAAAAAATAAAAGGAAATAAATCAGATACCAACAATAGATGCATCAAGGACTGAGATTCAGGTAATATTCATTTTGTTGTTAATAATTTCTTCCTAAAATTTCTGCAGGGAGTATACGTGGTCCTATAATAATATTTATTTATTTATTACAAATAATGAAATATATAATTTACTTTTAAACAACACATTTTTATAAATACTATGTTTGTATATCATATATTTAAAATATTTTATAATAAAACACATTTTATTTTTTATAAAAACGAAATCCTGCCCTGACTGCAGAAAAGGCACGCTTAACTTGAAGTTCTGATGAGAGGGCTGTGAGAGGGTCCATAGGCGCCCCCAGAGGTCCCTGAGCTCTTCTGCACATTGAGGCCCACCTGGGGGTTTCAGCAATACTGAAGCCTGGGTCCCACCTCCAGAGATGTGGTGGCTTTGGGTGTTTTTTTTTTTTCCCCCTGCTACTGAGGATTACACCCAGGGGTCTTTAACCACTGAGCCCCATCCCCAGCCCTTTCTATTTTTTATTTAGAGACAGGGTCTTGCTGAATTGCTGAGGCTGGTGTTGAACATGCGATCCTCCTGCCTCAGCCTCCAGAGTAGCTGGGATTACAGGTGTGTGCCACCATGCACCCCCGGGCTTTGGCATTTTTGATAGATCCCAGGTGATTCTAAGACCAGCTTGGGGACCACTGCCCCAAAGTTGTGTGATGGATCCCTGACAGGACAGGGGGAGTTGCCCCAGGCTGTCAACCCCCCCACCCCGTGTCCCACAAGCTGAGGACATGGCTATGTCTCACATTCTAGAGTCATCTGGGGGCTGCCACTATTATCTGCCACCAGCACAAAGACAAGCCAGGACCCTGGCTTTCTCTGGGAAGAATCTTGCCGGTTAGCTCAATGACCATTTCCCGGCCTTTCTTCTGCCCTCACTGAGGGGCTGAGGGGTCCTGGGAGAGTTTCCCTCCCCTGCCGCCTACACTGGGGGCCAGGGACTGGAGAGGCCCTTCCCTTGGCAGCTCCAAGCCAGGTTTGAGGGGTCCCCTGCAGGAGTGCCCCTACAGAGCCCATCTGAGTTCTGCACAGCCCCCACCTCCCGGCCGCTCAGGAGAGGCTGGAGGGGCCTCTGTGAATTCTGACACCCACACCCACCCGGGGTCCCACACTGTGGTTCAAGGGACTCGGGGTGAGGAAATGAGGGACCAGCCCAGATACCCAACAGCCTGGATGAATGCTCCAGTCCAGCCACCTCGGGGTGTTTGTCATTTGTGTTTGTCATTGCTTTTTCCTCTCTTGTTCCTGGTTCAGGTCCTCCAATGACATGGAATAACTGGAGTGTGTGTGCGTGTGTATGTGTGCATGTGTGTGAAAGGCTTGAGGGCCCCAAGCTCTGCTCTAAATACCTGCACATTCCTGTAAGAAGCTTTTGACCCCGGGGTCCATCTCATTCCTACAGGAGCCTGGTTTTAAAGCCTGACTCCAGCATTTACTAGCTGTGTGGCTGTGGATGAGTTACTCAGCCTCTCTGTGCATCACTTTCCTCATCTGTGAAATGGGGGTAATAACAGGCCCAATTTCCACAGGGTTGATGCGAAGATTAATTGAGGTAAATGAGTTTGTTGCTTAGAAGGGTGACGGGCACACACCAGGCACTGGGTAAATGACGGCTGCTGTTCCGTCCCCGCCACCCCCATACTAAACCCGTCTTCTTTAGTACCCCTGCCCCGCCTCCGTCTGTCCCCTGTACGTCCCTTCTCAGGTCACACCCTAAGCCCAGGCAGCCCAGCCTCCCTCCTGCTTTCTTGGCCTCAGGTTAGAGCCCCGCTTATTCAACAGCTGCCCGAAGCTGACTCTGAAGTCCCCCTGGAGCCCTGCCGCCCGGTCCTCACCCACCTCGCGCAGCTCTGAGTGTCCTGCGTCCTGCTTGATGACTTGTGAGTCCTTGGACACTGAGAGAGGCTGGTGGCCCCTGCCGGCTGTGCTCTGCCCAGAAGGTGGATCCAGCCAGAGAAAGCCAGAGGGCGACACCCCCCCCCCCCCCCCCCCCGCCCCCCGCAGGCCTGCAGTCCCTCCCCCCCTGGGGAACCCCGCCAGCTGCCTGAGGCCATGGGAGGCGGCCAGGCCCATTCCTGTCCTGGCTCCCCAGGGCTCACACCTTCCCTACTTTCCTCATTAACTCCCTGGTCCCGAAGTCGGTGCCTGTCAGGTCCGGACCCTGGGGAGCGCCATTAGCCACAGCAGGACCCACCCCCCACCCTTGCCAGGGCCCATCCACCCCCCACCCCCTAGAAACTGCCCTGGGCAGGGGGGCTCTGGAGCCGAAGGAGACATGGGGTTGTTCCTGGTTCAGGGCCCAGGAGGGCGTCTCTGGGCCACGGGGCGTCCCATCCAGTTGGGAGGTGGAATGGGGTCTGTTAAGGGACCTAGTCCCACTGTTGCTGGAACCTTTTCCGTGGCCCTCTCCAGGTGTCCCCGACATCTACTAGTGGCCTCCAGTGAGACAGCTCCCAGCTGCTGAGGCCTCCCTGTTGGAGTCAGGGCCAGGCGTGGGGGACTGTGAGTAGCAGGTGACAAGGCTGTGTCCTCTGCCTCCCGCTCTCCCTTCACTTTCCCTAACGCTCGCCCTCCAGCTGCCCGGGGGTCTCTCCACAAGACTGGGCTTTCCTGTGATTCAGCCAGGGAGTCCCCAGCGATCACCTAGTACCAAACTCAGCACCCGGCACCCACCAGACATTCAGTTTGTGGTGAGCATCACTGTGGTTACCAGACCTCGGCCACAAACAGATGGCAAGGGACAGTCCAGCCCTGCGAGGCTAAGACCCCCAAACACACTTCCCTTCTGGCCCCTGCTGCCCTCCAGGCGCATCAGCCGCGTCCTGCCCCATAATCACACGCATCCAGGGAGCCGCCACTCAGGACTAAGCGTCGTGCCTGTTGTCACCGAGGCACTGGGGCAGGGAGGAGGATCCCCTGTTGTGACCCTTCAGAGGTGGATCACGGGGAAAGGGAGGGCATGGGGCACACCAGGGGCCGTCAGAAGGCCCTCCTCCCAGGAGCCAGATGCCACTTGGAAGAAAGCCCACGTGGGCAAATGGAACAGTGTGAGCCACAGTCCCGCCGGCCCTGTCCACACAGAGGGACTTTGTAACTAACAGGTTCTATGAATCGGGAACCAGCACCAAGCAACTGCTTTGAAAGTTTCTTGTCTTCAATTCACCATCCCCCTGATTGAACCAGAAACACCTATCATCGCAGAAAATCTGAGAATACAGGTCCAAGAAGCAAAACATAACGCCCACACCCGGTAATTCTACCACCCAGAGATGTAGTGCCGATATCTCAGTGTCTTTTCCTTAGGTTGGTTCTCTTTCTTTCTTCTTTTTTTTTTTTTTTGTAATATTTATTTTTTAGTTGTAGTTGGACTCAATACCTTTATTTTATTTATCTATTTATATGTGGTGCTCAGGATCAGACCCAGGGCCTCACACGTGCTAGGCGAGTGCTCTACCGCTGAGCCACAACCCCAGCCCCTCCTTAGGTTGGGTTTCTAGAATTTTCCTTTCCACCTCCATCCCCGACCGCCTTATTTGACTCAGCAAAGTCCCCTGGAGTGTGCAGGGCCGAGGTGGGGCCGTCTGAGTCCTGATTTGAGGAGGCTTTTCCTCAACTCTCAAGCTGGTCCTGGGCTTCTGCCTGTGTCCAGGAAGTCAGGACAGGAGCTGAGGGACAGGAAGCCCAGCAGGGTGGGACGGGACAGGTGGTCAGAAACAGCAGCCAGCTCTCTTGGGAGGCCTCTCAGAGGCCACCTCCACCAGCGAGCCCTTCAGGCGGTCCTCCTGCACCTTGAGTGACCTGCATGACAATATCCAGGTGTTAGTGTCCCCTTGCACCTTCAGTGTGGAGGGGCCCTGGGGGTGGCCAGGGCTGAGAGGCTGCATCTGGGCTCCCTCCCCTCCCTGCAATGCTCCTGGCACCAGAAAAATGGGGCCAGGGAGGCTTTGCCCTCTGTGTCCCTCTGTGCCCCTCTGTGTCTCTTCTGCATCCTTCAGGCGCACTGAGCACTGGGCACCATGAAGGGACACTGACTGGGACAAAGAAGCTGACGTGACCTGCCCTGCGTAGTAAAGGACACACAGGGAGAGGATGACCACAGCAGGGGATGGAGCGGGGTGGGGGCAGATCTGAGCTGGGACCTGAGCTCCAGCCTGTGAGCAGAAAGGGGGCCCTGGGCAGAGAGAGGGCCAAGACGCCGGTGGGCACAGCCGCCGCGGGCCAGGTGGCACTCCGCCCGTCTAACACCCTGGGACTCCACCGAATGCCCCGGATGTGCCAGGGGGGTTGAACAGAGCAGGCCAGAGACACAGAGTGGGCACAGTGATGGCGTGTCCAGGGC